TGCATGTCGTGAGTCTTGGGCTCATGCTGAAATGCATGTCGTGAGTCTTGGGCTCATGCTGAAATGCATGTCGTGAGTCTTGGGCTCATGCTGAAATGCATGTCGTGAGTCTTGGGCTCATGCTGAAATGCATGTCGTGAGTCTTGGGCTCATGCTGAAATGCATGTCGTGAGTCTTGGGCTCATGCTGAAATGCATGTCGTGAGTCTTGGGCTCATGCTGAAATGCATGTCGTGAGTCTTGGGCTCATGCTGAAATGCATGTCGTGAGTCTTGGGCTCATGCTGAAATGCATGTCGTGAGTCTTGGGCTCATGCTGAAATGCATGTCGTGAGTCTTGGGCTCATGCTGAAATGCATGTCGTGAGTCTTGGGCTCATGCTGAAATGCATGTCGTGAGTCTTGGGCTCATGCTGAAATGCATGTCGTGAGTCTTGGGCTCATGCTGAAATGCATGTCGTGAGTCTTGGGCTCATGCTGAAATGCATGTCGTGAGTCTTGGGCTCATGCTGAAATGCATGTCGTGAGTCTTGGGCTCATGCTGAAATGCATGTCGTGAGTCTTGGGCTCATGCTGAAATGCATGTCGTGAGTCTTGGGCTCATGCTGAAATGCATGTCGTGAGTCTTGGGCTCATGCTGAAATGCATGTCGTGAGTCTTGGGCTCATGCTGAAATGCATGTCGTGAGTCTTGGGCTCATGCTGAAATGCATGTCGTGAGTCTTGGGCTCATGCTGAAATGCATGTCGTGAGTCTTGGGCTCATGCTGAAATGCATGTCGTGAGTCTTGGGCTCATGCTGAAATGCATGTCGTGAGTCTTGGGCTCATGCTGAAATGCATGTCGTGAGTCTTGGGCTCATGCTGAAATGCATGTCGTGAGTCTTGGGCTCATGCTGAAATGCATGTCGTGAGTCTTGGGCTCATGCTGAAATGCATGTCGTGAGTCTTGGGCTCATGCTGAAATGCATGTCGTGAGTCTTGGGCTCATGCTGAAATGCATGTCGTGAGTCTTGGGCTCATGCTGAAATGCATGTCGTGAGTCTTGGGCTCATGCTGAAATGCATGTCGTGAGTCTTGGGCTCATGCTGAAATGCATGTCGTGAGTCTTGGGCTCATGCTGAAATGCATGTCGTGAGTCTTGGGCTCATGCTGAAATGCATGTCGTGAGTCTTGGGCTCATGCTGAAATGCATGTCGTGAGTCTTGGGCTCATGCTGAAATGCATGTCGTGAGTCTTGGGCTCATGCTGAAATGCATGTCGTGAGTCTTGGGCTCATGCTGAAATGCATGTCGTGAGTCTTGGGCTCATGCTGAAATGCATGTCGTGAGTCTTGGGCTCATGCTGAAATGCATGTCGTGAGTCTTGGGCTCATGCTGAAATGCATGTCGTGAGTCTTGGGCTCATGCTGAAATGCATGTCGTGAGTCTTGGGCTCATGCTGAAATGCATGTCGTGAGTCTTGGGCTCATGCTGAAATGCATGTCGTGAGTCTTGGGCTCATGCTGAAATGCATGTCGTGAGTCTTGGGCTCATGCTGAAATGCATGTCGTGAGTCTTGGGCTCATGCTGAAATGCATGTCGTGAGTCTTGGGCTCATGCTGAAATGCATGTCGTGAGTCTTGGGCTCATGCTGAAATGCATGTCGTGAGTCTTGGGCTCATGCTGAAATGCATGTCGTGAGTCTTGGGCTCATGCTGAAATGCATGTCGTGAGTCTTGGGCTCATGCTGAAATGCATGTCGTGAGTCTTGGGCTCATGCTGAAATGCATGTCGTGAGTCTTGGGCTCATGCTGAAATGCATGTCGTGAGTCTTGGGCTCATGCTGAAATGCATGTCGTGAGTCTTGGGCTCATGCTGAAATGCATGTCGTGAGTCTTGGGCTCATGCTGAAATGCATGTCGTGAGTCTTGGGCTCATGCTGAAATGCATGTCGTGAGTCTTGGGCTCATGCTGAAATGCATGTCGTGAGTCTTGGGCTCATGCTGAAATGCATGTCGTGAGTCTTGGGCTCATGCTGAAATGCATGTCGTGAGTCTTGGGCTCATGCTGAAATGCATGTCGTGAGTCTTGGGCTCATGCTGAAATGCATGTCGTGAGTCTTGGGCTCATGCTGAAATGCATGTCGTGAGTCTTGGGCTCATGCTGAAATGCATGTCGTGAGTCTTGGGCTCATGCTGAAATGCATGTCGTGAGTCTTGGGCTCATGCTGAAATGCATGTCGTGAGTCTTGGGCTCATGCTGAAATGCATGTCGTGAGTCTTGGGCTCATGCTGAAATGCATGTCGTGAGTCTTGGGCTCATGCTGAAATGCATGTCGTGAGTCTTGGGCTCATGCTGAAATGCATGTCGTGAGTCTTGGGCTCATGCTGAAATGCATGTCGTGAGTCTTGGGCTCATGCTGAAATGCATGTCGTGAGTCTTGGGCTCATGCTGAAATGCATGTCGTGAGTCTTGGGCTCATGCTGAAATGCATGTCGTGAGTCTTGGGCTCATGCTGAAATGCATGTCGTGAGTCTTGGGCTCATGCTGAAATGCATGTCGTGAGTCTTGGGCTCATGCTGAAATGCATGTCGTGAGTCTTGGGCTCATGCTGAAATGCATGTCGTGAGTCTTGGGCTCATGCTGAAATGCATGTCGTGAGTCTTGGGCTCATGCTGAAATGCATGTCGTGAGTCTTGGGCTCATGCTGAAATGCATGTCGTGAGTCTTGGGCTCATGCTGAAATGCATGTCGTGAGTCTTGGGCTCATGCTGAAATGCATGTCGTGAGTCTTGGGCTCATGCTGAAATGCATGTCGTGAGTCTTGGGCTCATGCTGAAATGCATGTCGTGAGTCTTGGGCTCATGCTGAAATGCATGTCGTGAGTCTTGGGCTCATGCTGAAATGCATGTCGTGAGTCTTGGGCTCATGCTGAAATGCATGTCGTGAGTCTTGGGCTCATGCTGAAATGCATGTCGTGAGTCTTGGGCTCATGCTGAAATGCATGTCGTGAGTCTTGGGCTCATGCTGAAATGCATGTCGTGAGTCTTGGGCTCATGCTGAAATGCATGTCGTGAGTCTTGGGCTCATGCTGAAATGCATGTCGTGAGTCTTGGGCTCATGCTGAAATGCATGTCGTGAGTCTTGGGCTCATGCTGAAATGCATGTCGTGAGTCTTGGGCTCATGCTGAAATGCATGTCGTGAGTCTTGGGCTCATGCTGAAATGCATGTCGTGAGTCTTGGGCTCATGCTGAAATGCATGTCGTGAGTCTTGGGCTCATGCTGAAATGCATGTCGTGAGTCTTGGGCTCATGCTGAAATGCATGTCGTGAGTCTTGGGCTCATGCTGAAATGCATGTCGTGAGTCTTGGGCTCATGCTGAAATGCATGTCGTGAGTCTTGGGCTCATGCTGAAATGCATGTCGTGAGTCTTGGGCTCATGCTGAAATGCATGTCGTGAGTCTTGGGCTCATGCTGAAATGCATGTCGTGAGTCTTGGGCTCATGCTGAAATGCATGTCGTGAGTCTTGGGCTCATGCTGAAATGCATGTCGTGAGTCTTGGGCTCATGCTGAAATGCATGTCGTGAGTCTTGGGCTCATGCTGAAATGCATGTCGTGAGTCTTGGGCTCATGCTGAAATGCATGTCGTGAGTCTTGGGCTCATGCTGAAATGCATGTCGTGAGTCTTGGGCTCATGCTGAAATGCATGTCGTGAGTCTTGGGCTCATGCTGAAATGCATGTCGTGAGTCTTGGGCTCATGCTGAAATGCATGTCGTGAGTCTTGGGCTCATGCTGAAATGCATGTCGTGAGTCTTGGGCTCATGCTGAAATGCATGTCGTGAGTCTTGGGCTCATGCTGAAATGCATGTCGTGAGTCTTGGGCTCATGCTGAAATGCATGTCGTGAGTCTTGGGCTCATGCTGAAATGCATGTCGTGAGTCTTGGGCTCATGCTGAAATGCATGTCGTGAGTCTTGGGCTCATGCTGAAATGCATGTCGTGAGTCTTGGGCTCATGCTGAAATGCATGTCGTGAGTCTTGGGCTCATGCTGAAATGCATGTCGTGAGTCTTGGGCTCATGCTGAAATGCATGTCGTGAGTCTTGGGCTCATGCTGAAATGCATGTCGTGAGTCTTGGGCTCATGCTGAAATGCATGTCGTGAGTCTTGGGCTCATGCTGAAATGCATGTCGTGAGTCTTGGGCTCATGCTGAAATGCATGTCGTGAGTCTTGGGCTCATGCTGAAATGCATGTCGTGAGTCTTGGGCTCATGCTGAAATGCATGTCGTGAGTCTTGGGCTCATGCTGAAATGCATGTCGTGAGTCTTGGGCTCATGCTGAAATGCATGTCGTGAGTCTTGGGCTCATGCTGAAATGCATGTCGTGAGTCTTGGGCTCATGCTGAAATGCATGTCGTGAGTCTTGGGCTCATGCTGAAATGCATGTCGTGAGTCTTGGGCTCATGCTGAAATGCATGTCGTGAGTCTTGGGCTCATGCTGAAATGCATGTCGTGAGTCTTGGGCTCATGCTGAAATGCATGTCGTGAGTCTTGGGCTCATGCTGAAATGCATGTCGTGAGTCTTGGGCTCATGCTGAAATGCATGTCGTGAGTCTTGGGCTCATGCTGAAATGCATGTCGTGAGTCTTGGGCTCATGCTGAAATGCATGTCGTGAGTCTTGGGCTCATGCTGAAATGCATGTCGTGAGTCTTGGGCTCATGCTGAAATGCATGTCGTGAGTCTTGGGCTCATGCTGAAACGCATGTGGTGAGTCTTGGGCTCATGCTGAAATGCATGTGGTGAGTCTTGGGCTGATGCTGAAATGCATGTGGTGAGTCTTCGGCTGATGCTGATGAGCGAGGTGGAGCTGCTCGCTGTGGTGACGAGGAACAAGCAGCTGGCAGCGCAGCACAAGGAGTTGGAGAGGAGGGGAAGGGCGGTGGAGGAGAGGGAGGCCGATTTGGGAGGCACTGCACTTTCCTCACACCCACGTCCCCTCCTCCCTCTGCATCTCCCTTACCAGGTGGCGAGTTTGGAGGAGGCGTACGCGCGGAGCCTGGAGGAGAGGGAGAGGAGCAAGCGGGCGGTGGAGGAGAGGGAGGCGGACCTGGAGTGGCGGGGGAAGGTGGCTAACGAGCAGCACGTGGCTGCTGCCCGCACGCTGCAGCGCCAACTGTCAAGCTCCTCCGAGCTCAGGTGCGTGCCTCCCCTGCCGCACTTCCCTGCCTTGGCCTCTCCAACTTGTTGAAGATCAGGTGCCTTCGCATCCCCACACCCCCTCCTGTTGTTCCTTTGCTTCTCGTTCTGCTCCCTCTTCCTCTTCCCCGCCTTCCATAATCCCCCAGCCTTCTTTCCCCCTCCCCCGCCCCTTGCGACCAGTACCGCTCTTGCCTGCTAATTATCCTTCATCCTCACTCCGTCCCTCCCTCCCTCCCCACCTTCCTCCTACAGTGACGATCACAGCAGCGCCCTGCGAGGCAGCCTGCACGCGGCAGCAGTATTCCAAGCAGGGCTGGCGCAGCTGAAGCAGCAGCAGCACGAGCGGCTGCTGCAGTTCCGGCAGGGCGTGAAGCAGGCAGAGCTGGCGCTGCTGCAGGAGATGGAGGAGGAGCGCGTGCGATTCGTGGAGGAGTGCGAGGCTCTGCGCGAGGAGAGCGACGCGACGCTGGACCAGATCGAGTGCCGGGGGGTGGGGAAGGCTGGTAGGTGGATGGGGGATGCGGGTGGGGAGGGAGAGAGTGAGGTGGGGGGTGTGTGTTCTGGGAGTGAGGCTGGGGGAAAGGAAGAGGTAGGGAGTGAGGTGGGGAGCGAGAAGGGTGAGAGTGTTGTTGAGGGAGGGGAGGGGGCAGGGGCTGTTGAGGGGGAAAGAGTGGTGGGTGGAGAGGAGGAGGGGGAGCAAGACGAGGGGGTGAAGGAGAGTGAGGAGGAGGAGCAGGGGGTAGGCGTGTGTGGGATGCAGCAAGAGGCAGAGTTGAGTGAAGACAGTGTTGGGGAGGCAGGGAATGATGAGGACAGGGTGGTTTGTGGAAGGGCAGAGGAGCCAGGAGAGGAGGGAGGAACGGAGGAATGGGGAGAGGGAGGAGGGAAGGAAGAGGCAGAGACACAAGGGACGGTAAGGGAGGAGGTAGGAGAGGAAAAAGGTGAGGAGAAAGAGGAGAAAACAGGTGAGGGGGAAGAGGAGGGACAGGTGGAAGTAAATGATAAATGGGTGGGGGAACGAGGGACAGAAGAAGAGGGGGAAGGAAGCAAGGAAGGGGCAGGGAAGGAAGAAGCGGAGGAAGCGTGGGAGGAAATGGTTGATGAAGGCGAGAAGGGAGGAGAGGCAGAAGTTGAGGCAGAAGGGAAGGCAGAATGGGAGGAAGAAGGGGAGGCAAAGGAAGAGGCCAATGGGGAGGCAGAAGGGGAGGCAAAGGGAGAGGCAAAGGGAGAAGCAGAAGGGGGGGCAGAGGGAGAGGCAGGGGGAGATGCAGAGGGGGGGGCAGGGGGAGAGGAAGAGGGAGAGACAGAAAGGGAGCGAGAGGGAGAGGCAGAGGGAGAGGCAGAGGGGGAGGCATCAAGTCAGGAAATGAATGGTGCAAGTGAGGGGATGAATGCGGAGGGGGGAGAGGAAGTAGTGGTAGAGGAGTCTGAAAACGGGAATGAGGGAGTCGTTGAGAAGGTAAATGTGGGGGGCGAGGGGGTAGCTGAAAAGGTGGCTGAGGATGTGGGAGAGAGGTTGGAGGTGGGGAATGGAGCAATCGAGAATGCTGTGGAGGTTGATGGATTGAACAATGATGGAAATAGTTTGATGACCAGCACAAACGAACGCACTGCAGGTGAAGAAGCTGCTGAGCTCCCAACTGAAACCCTCCAGAGCAGTGGTGCAGAGGAGAACGACGTGTACGGGCCAGAGTCGTTCTTCCTCCAACAATGTAAGTCATTCCAACTTGTTGGGTTTCATGGAAGTGCTTCCTGTTTCATTGTTTCCATGTATTTGTATCCCGTTTTGACCTTTTTTTCTTTTACGTGATGTAGGATTATGGATCACATGAATTCGTGGCATCCATTTTTTCTCCCAAGCATTCCGTTCGGTTTCCGTGTGACTATAGCCCAGACGTGCAATCTTTTTAGTGTTGTTTTCAGAGTGGAATTCGTGCAATCATGTTTACTCAGATGGTGTATTAAAACGTTGTCTATTATTAGCTTGTATTTGATGATGGAAATAGTTTGATGACATTTGTTGTGTTTATTGTTGACAATTGGCTCTTCATCGGAGAGGTGTATATTATAAAATTGTTTGATATATTATGCACACTTTTCAATCCAATTATTATCTCACCAATATTCAGGACGGCAGCAATGGGAGTTATAATTCTGGAGACGAGGAATTTACAACCAACAGCTAGTTCTCTACAATATTTTAATTATCAAATCAGCAATCTTAAGAAGGAACCTAAAATATCATGTACCCTAACCATTTATAACGTCGGAACTTGTTACATGAGCTACAGTTCTTGGTATCCACCACCATGCCTTCCTGCAAATTGGCTGCAACTCGCATGAACGACGAGGCGCGCGCGAGCTCCTCCTCCCCCCTCGCTGCAAACCTGGACCGTTCAGCTGGGGATGAATTCATTGACCAGACGGTTTGCTTCGTCATTCGAACGTCGGACTCAACCTCGGGAAACAGGACAGCTCGCATCCACGCCGTCAGCTCAGTCACGGCAGGTTCGGTGCTCGACATCCGTCATCCCAATTGCCCCGTTCCAGGGTCGCCTTGGATTATTCAGAGGCCATCCTGACCGTCCCCTTGCGCCCCTGCAAGTTCAGAGATCCCCACCAAGATTCTGGGAACATTGGAGCATGTGGCTCACCTGGAAAAGTGGGGCGAATTTGCGAAAGGGGGCGAATGTGCGGCGGGGCAGTCTGGTGCGGAACTTTGGGCTGCACGGGCGGATTTGAGGAAATGGGCAGGGCAGGTTTCCGCAGGTAGCGAGGGGCGAGTTTGCGGAGAAGGGGCGGATTTGTGTTACAGTAGCAGGGACGAGAACTGTTCTTCTCTGTCTTGTGGTGTGGTGTGGTGTGGTGTGTTTTGGTGTGGTTTGGTGTGGTTTGGTGTGGTTTGGTGTGGTGTGGTTTGGTGTGTGTGGGTGCAGTGGTCCGAAGGGTTCCATCCCATTCCATCGCCTCGGATCGGACGCACTTTCCCCTCCCTGCCTGAATTTCACAATCTTGGCGTGCAATAGACTGATCGCACGCTGAACAGGGATAACGCAACAGAGCAGAGCAGCGTCGAATTATTACGCTTTGCAGGTGTCGCTCGTATAGCTACGACGATTGCGGGGAGCATTCCTCAAGTGGCATATATTTGACGAACTCTCAGGCTGATTCTCTCGAGAGTATAGTGCAACGATCTCGTCGAGCCGTTTATATCGTAAGGCGGCGCGGTTTTAATAGGATTGGCCGCCATGATCGTGACTCACGATGACGTGGCGTACAGCGTCACCGTTCTCGATGGCGACGCTCGCGCTATGCCGGAGCTATTCCTTCCCACCGCCGCGCCGCGCGCCAATTCCACGTCAGATAAGTTTCGAAGCGGGCTTTCCCCCAGTGTCCCCGCCGCACCGCAACCCGCCGGCAGGTGTAGCAGCGGCAGCGGAACCTTCAGCAGCCGCAGCAGCAGCGACAGCGGAACCTACAAGGGCAGCGGCAGCAGCAGCAGCAGCAACAGCAACAGCAACAGCAGCAGCAGTAGCAGCAGCAGCAGCAGCAGCAGGAGCAACAGCGACCCGAGCAGTCCCATGAGCCCCTATCAGGTCGTCCCCATCGGCCGTCTTTCCAGCAGCGCGCGGGACACTTCCGCGCGACCTCCGCGAGCCACCGCGCAATTGCCCGACGGCCACATTCCGCGCCAGCCGCCCGAAGCCCAACGCCAGAGCGCGGAATCGTCCGCTGCGCCGAGCGGCGCAAACGCAAGCCCCACGGAGGCAGTGGTGGTGTGCCGCGCGGGAGAGCCGTTCACGGTGGTGGCGCAAACGAGCTTCCGCGCGCCGTTCCGCGTGGAGATGCGCGTCGCGGGGAAGTCGCCGGGATACACGGAGTATTTTTACTCGCCCGGGGAGATTAATTTCCACTGGTTCCAGGGCTGGCATCTGGGCCAGGGCCGATTCGCGCCTTTCACTTGCGACCCGGCGCTGCCGCGAGTTGCGGACGCGGAGTCGGAGGCCCGAGAAAAAATCTCCGTCGGAATTGCGCCGCCTGAACCGGCGCAAGAGCCGCCGCGAAACTTGCGAGGGCTCTGGCCGCAGAGCCATGCGGCGGGTGAGAAAGAAACCGCGAAGAGTCGCAGGAGCCGGCGGAAGGCGGCGGGCGGGACGCGCGGGATGCAGACAGGCGGGAGGCGCGGAAAGGAAGGCGCGCACGGCGGGGACAAGGGGGAGGGGACTGGGCGCAGGCATACGGTGGCCGGCGCGTGGTGGTGCTGCTCCCCCGCGCACTCTCCGAAGGTGAAAGTGACTGCGCCGACGACGGGCGCGCGGGGCGGAATGAAAAGGCAGGGACTGGGGAAGGTGCATTGGCGAGGCGGGCCGAGAGTGTCAGCAGCAGCAGCAGCAGCAGCGGCGGCGGCGGAGGAATGAACAGCAGGGGAGTGAAAAGGAGGAGAGAGCTGGGGAGGCCTGCAGCACAGAGCAAGAATGGGAGGAGGCGGACGGGTGGGGGTGGCGGGACGAGCGGGCCGGCTTGCCCATTCCGTCCGCCCTCGCTCTCTCCTTCGACCCAAGCTCCAACGCTGCCGACACCAGCAGCAACTCGGGCACTGACTCCTCCTCGTCCCCCTCCTCGCCCCCGTCCTCGCCTTTCCACCCTCGCCTCGCACCCAGAGGCGCAGAGGTAGCAGAGGCGGACAGTGAGTTGCGTGCAGAGGGTGGTGAATGCAGCGCAGGCGAGCAACAGGTGGGTGCGGCCAGCAGGGTGCAGTGCATCCCGGGCTCCTTTCAACCCGCCTGCATCCTGTCGCCCCTGACCCAATTGGCACCGCACTCACATGCTCTTTGTGACGCTGCTGCTTCACACAGCAGCACGGGTGACGAGGATGGTGGTGACAAGAGCTCCAACACCGATCAAGAGGATGCGACGAGCAGCAGCGATTCAGAGACGGCAGAGGACGACTCGGATGAAAGTGCTGTTTCTGAAAGTGATGAAATTCCCTCTCGGTCATGCCTGCCGCCTCTCCTCTCCCTCTGGCCGCCCTGCAAGTCGCCTCCACAGCAGCGCACCGTCCCGCCCGTGCTCCCATCAGACCTGCCGTCTCTCACCCCTTCAACGTCAATTCACCCGGTGGTGGTGGATTTCCGAGTGGACGTGCTCTTCCAGTCCATCCGCCTGCTGCCCTGCTCCGCCCGCACCACTGCCCACCCCACCATCTCCAACCCCACTCGTGGTTACACCAGCACTGCTGCTCACTGCGAGCACTGTGAGAAGCGCCTCAGGTGGTACCTGGGGGAGGGGGGCTTTGGCCAGGCTGCACCTGCGGCTGCTGCAGGGGCAGCAGGGGCGCGTGGGGAACAGACAGGTGGGGGCGCTCTAGGGAGGGGGGCAAATGGACTGGGGGATAAGGCTGGTTCGGGAGGTAGTTGTGGGGGAGGCGATGGTGGGGAAGGCGGGATCTCAGCGGTGGATTTGCCAGGACCAGTGCCCTTTCACTACGAGGACTTGGACCAACAGGTGCGATGCTGCCAGCCACTGGTGAGGTCATGGTATGTGTGCGTATGCTGCCGCTGGTGAGGTCATGGTATGTGTGTGTGCTGCCGCTGGTCAGATAATGGTACCACTTGTGAGTATGGATGTTCTGGTGAGGAGTCAGGTTCAACAGAAGATGGAAGTAGTGAACTGTTATCGTGCACCTATTGGGCCCACCCAACTGATCTCAGACTTACATTATCAGTGCGCTTTCCTGTATTCGAAATGGCCTGCTTGCAGGTGAAGGTGTCACTTGGCTTCAACTGCCATCAGAGACTGAGGGAGAGGGGGCTGGCTGTTCCAAGCCGCCTTGCCAGGACAGGGAGGACTTGAGTGTGACTGGATGCTGCAGACACTAGGTGATTCGATTGTATTGTAGGGTAGTTTCCAATCCTAGCTAATCTCCCAAGTAGGCCAAAGAGCAGTAGTTAATATAAGTATCACTATAAGTCAATATTGTTATTATTGATATTAATATAGTGCATTGACACTCAACCACTTAACATATTCACGAATACTCAATTTCGTGTGCCGAAGTTTTCAACGAATCGGTTGTCACTATCGGATGAATTCTCCTGACAAGCACCACCGGACAGCCCAACTCCACCGCTCCACAACCTGCGTAGCGGGGCGAGGCGCTGGGAGCGCGTTCCACGGATTCATCGGAAGCAGCCAACAGTCGCGCGCCACTGGGACAGCTCTCATATCACGAATCCCACCGAGCGCGCTCACGACGGATCTCAGCCACTCTAAGCGAGTCTCCGATTCCAAGCAAGCCAAGCCCATTCCAAGCCGGACCCCGCGACATTTCGTGAGCTGGGCACTAGAAGTTGCCAGAACGTCGAATCGTAGCCATTAAAACCTCGTTGTGTGTTGCTCGCCGTTGATCTCTGACTTGAATTGTTTCAGCCTCCCAGCTGCCGTTGCGCTGACACTTGCGGATGGCTTCCCGCGGGGGGCGCTCGTGGGGTCGGGGCAACCGGCGGCAAGAGGCGGAGGCGGGTGGCGGAAGCGGTAGATTCGGCGGAGGGCGCAATCGGGGTCGGGCGGAGGCGCAGAGGGGTGCGCGCGGAGGCGGGCGGCGGGTGCAAGGGCGGGCGGTGACGGCGGAAGAAGAGGCGCTGCAGTCGCTGCTGGAAGGTGCGGGGAAAGGGGGGGCGCGGGAGGGTGGGTGAGTGGTGGGGGGGGAGAGAGTGGGGAAGAGTGCTGGATGAACCTCAGCTGCCCCTTCCAGGGTGGCCGGGGCTGAGGGCGGAGGGGTGGAGGGGCGGAGGGTGGTGGGGTGGAGGGTGGAGGGGTGGGGCTGCGCGTTTCAGACGAGAGTGTCATTTGCCGCCCGGATCTCCCACCCTGCACTTGCTCCCTTCCCCCGCTCCTGCTCCCGCTTCCTCTCCCACTTTCCCCCACTCTCCCCCCCACCCCGGTGATGCCAATCCGTAGCTTCCCCACCTTCCCCAACGTTCCACCCTTTCCCCTCCGCCCTTCCTCTTAAGAGGCTGGCAGGAGGAAGCAGGCAGGGCAGCGGCGACTCAGTAGCACAGTGGTGACTGTAATTGAAGGTGACAACAACGGTGCCACCCTTAATAGCACCAGCAGCGGCAGCAGCAACGTCATAACTGTCACCACCGCTGCTGCTCCAGCCATTCCCAAGGGCCCAGCAACCGATCACTTCGAAGCATCCCTTCGTTACTATCACACTGCCCTCTCCTCCCCCGCCCTCTCTCCCGTCGCCCGCCTCTCTGTTTTGTTTGACATGGGGGAGGCTTATCTGGGGCTGGGGGAGGCGCAGCTAGCAGACGGGAAACGGGCGGCAGGGGGGCCGATGAGTCAGCCTGTGCTGACGTGGCAAGTGGTGAAACGGCTGGAGAGGGAGGCTGCCACATCAGCTGCTGACTCGTGCCGTCTTGCATTTGAGGCTTTCGATGAGATCTGTCGCGTTGGCCCCACCCTTTGCTCTGCTGACTCAGCAGGGGGTGCCCAGTCACCCGCAGACGTCAGCGGCAGAGGAGGCGGGGGTGGAGGCAGAGGGAGGGGAGGGGGAGAGGTCGGGGAGGATGCTGACGTGGCGGAGATGGTGCAAGGGGCGGCAGTGAATGCGGCTAATGCGCTGGTGGCATGGGCAGAGGCGGTGGGGGAGGTGGAGGAGGAGGAGCAGGGGGATGGAGCGTGCGAGGGAATGGCAGTGGATGGGGGGGAGCAGCAGCAGGCGCAGCAACAGCAGGGGCGGGCGGGGCAAGGCGGAGTGAGGGCGGCACAGCTGCTGCGCGAGGCAGCAGCGCGGTACGGTGCAGCAGCAGGCGCAGCACCGGGTGACACGGACCTGCTGTCCAACCTGGGGGACTGTGCTGTGAAGACCGCTGAGCTGCTGGTGAGGCTGCACCCATGTCCCTTGAGGCACGGGGCACGGGGCACAAGCAGAGGGCATGGAGCAGAGGTTACGAGTGTGGGCAGCAGCGGTGGTGGCACCGTGTGACACGGCTGTGCTGTCCATTATGGGGGAGCGCCATAACATGACACAGCGTCAGTCACCTAATCTGCCGTGCCTGCCTTGCTCTCCCACGTTCCTCCTCCCCTTCCCCCCTGTTCCGTATCCCCCCACCCATCTGTGGCTCTTCCTGCTCATCCCCCCCCCGCCCATCCCCTCCTCTTTTCCCCTTTTCCCCTTCTCCCCCTTCACCCTTCCCCCTTCCCATGTGTCTTGTCCCCCCACCAGTGCCCAGAGCGGCCAGTGGGCGAGGGGGCGGAGGCAGCATGGGCGGGGGCGTGGGGGCAGTACGAGAGGGGCATGGGGGCGTATGCAGCGGCGTGCTCGCTGTGTGACGCGCGGGTGGGGGACGACCTGCCAGGGCTGCTGCACAACTGGGGCGTGGGGCTGCTCTCCGCCGCGCAGGTGAGGCTGCGGGCTGCTCACCGCTGCTCAGGTGAAGCTGCTGTGAGGTGACGGGTAAGGGCAGACCCACCACTGTAGAAGCATCTATGGGTGGCACGTTTGCCCGCAGCAGCACGTGACTTTACTCCCCACCGCTCAACCGCTCTTCTCCCTCTTTCCCTCCGTGCTCTCCCCATGCTGCCTCTTGCGCTGCAGCGCTGCCCTGAGCCTGAACAGGAGGTTCGGCTTCTGACAGAAGCTGCGGAGAAGCTTCAAAGGGCAGCCGATTTCCAGCCCACAGACATCGCCTCTCGTCTGGCTCTGGGGGAGGTGTTATCTGCACAGGCAGAGGTGCTATCTGCACAGCGGGCAGGATCAGCTTTGCCATCTGCCACCCTACAGCAGGCCCTGCACCTGCTCTCTCTCTCCCTCTCCCGCGGATTCTCTGCCGCCCTGCGAATCGACTCCCGCCATCCAGAGGCCCTCCTGGGGGCGGCAGACGTGCACCTGTCTGCTGCCCGGCTGCTGATGGGGCGGGCGGCCGGCAGGGAGAGGGGCGGCGGTGGCGGCAGCAGGGAGGGTGGAGGGGAGGGCAAGGGTGCTGGGGATGAGGTGGCGGCAGCGCTGCCGCAAGAAGCAGTGGACCACTTGCAGCATGCCATGTCAGCGTACCGTGCTGCCATGGTGGCATTGAAAGGTGTGCGCTTCGCTCTGGCTTCTGCCGTGAGCCCATCCTTGCATGCATCCATGCGTGTCCATCCATCTGACCATTCATCCCCATGTGTGCTTCCTGTGCTTCCTGTGCTTCCTGCACACATGCATGAATGGTGCGATGTGGTAGGGCCTTATGGCCTTCCATCCTGGCATCAAACATTTGTCTCCATGCCCCCTCTCCGCCCCCCATTCTCGCACCACTCCATCCAGCCACGGATGTGTTATCCTATGCGGATCAATGCAGTGGCCTGTACAACATGGCATGTGCTGCTGCGCTGGCAGGGCTGCTTGCTGAGTCAGCAGACATTCTTGCCAGGCTGGCCGCAATTGGTTGGCTCTGCAAGGGAGATTTGCAGAGTGATGAGGATTTCAGATTTCTCAGGCAGTCCCAGGTATACACAAGCTTGCTGTCCGAATTAACAGCGCAAGAATAGCTGTGATACCTGCTGCTCACCTTTTGACATGGATTGCTCGGCTTCTAACGAGGATTGCTTTTCTGTGACTGATCGCTCTCAGTTACTGCTGCCAATTGTTCAGCTATATAACATACGCTCATGCCATCATGTTGTAGTGTTGCTTATGGGGGCTGCCCTTAGTGCAATCCTCGTTCCCTCCCTCAGTGTGTTTGTCCTAACAACCGTTTAGGCTGCGTCAGAACATTCGGGCTGCCCTGAACGGAATAAACTACTGTACCAGCGCGCAACGAATCCCGCCCCCATAAAAAATATGGTTGTGCCTAGAGATTGCATCGCGCCTAAAAATGAGAGCCGTAGATCCTCGAAATAACGAACGCGCCACGACTATCCCAAAATTTCACTCTCGAAGGCCAATGTCGCACGAAGTGCGACGCGACAAACATACGTATCATTGGGTCGATCTGCGATCAGGTAACTCACATTCCAGAACGGGTTCCAAGCAACCTTCCACAGCATTTTCTTCCAAGCTGAATTGGCAAAACGGGTTCCTTGCGGTAGCTAACGGCCCCTTGCCTCCAAGCCCGACACGGGATAACACAACACGAGACATGACGCTAAAAACGGAACTATCGCTTCAACAGGCCATCACACCCCCAACACTCCCTCCATGTTTGCGATGGCACTGACGATAAAGACCTTCCTACACATCGACAGATTTTTAAACCAGAAAATCCCTCCTTTAGCCAATCAATATTCTACCATCCCCTTCTCAAGCTTACATGCCGGGCGGCATGGTAAAGCTGGGTCCGCGAGTGAGAATCGCGTACAGCAGGCCAGCGACACAGCCAGCGAGGGGAAGCGTGAGAACCCACCCGAACCCAGCAATGGCCACCATGGTCCAGTTGATGGCCCGCCAATTGCCGTTGCACAGCCCCACGGCGACGGTCGCGCCGACGATGCACTGAGTGGTGGAGACCGGCAGCGCGAGAAACGACGCGGTGATGACGGAGAGGGCAGAGCCGAGCTCCATGGAGAACCCACGCGACGGCGAGTGGTACGTGATGTTGTTGCCGAGGGCCCGCATGATGTGGTAACCATCTGCAGCAGGTGAGACGATAGCGGTTAGAGGGGAGCGCAGAGGCGAGTATAATCGAAATTCTAGCAAGGAGAGCTGCTGATAATTCTCAAAAGGGAGGTAAAGGAAATGACAGGGGCTGGTTCTGATAATTCTCAAAAGCAAAAGATGTGAACCAACGGAATGACAGAGAACGAAGGGTTGGGTGAAAGGCGAGCAAGGGGATATCCTACAGAGAGCAAGACCGAGGTCGAGGGCGATTCCGACATACGCGAGCATCCACGTGGGCACGCTGGCATCCGTCTTGAACGTCCCCGAATCCCAGATCTGGTAGACTCCCGCCACGGGACCCAGCGCGTTTGCGATGTCGTTGGACCCGTGCGCGAAACTCGCGAAGGCGGCGGTGATTACTTGGAGCAGGGAATAGAGGTACTCCGTCTTGTTGTCGTACAGCACCGCCACGTCGTGCGCGCGCAACGCGCCCTTGTTTTCACTCTGTAGGGTCGCCACGTCGATGAAAATCGCCCGCCATAGCAGCACCTTGACGTGATTAACAAACCGCACAAACGAGTTCTTCGACTTGGGCTTCTCAGGCTCCTTCTCCTTCATCTCCTCGGGATCGTCGACCGGCATTCCCAGCTGCTTCTTCTCGTCGTCGCTCAGCAATTGCGGCGTGAAGGCGCGCTTCAGGTACATGTCGATCTTAGGGTCCTGCGCTCCGGCACGCACCAGATGTAGAAGATATGATACCACTTGAGTGTCTCCTCCTTTTCCAGCCGTCGGATGAAGAAGGGCACGAGCAATCCGACGCAGAAGAGCAGCATCGCGCCGGTCACCGCGCCGATAATGCCGAACGCCAGTCCCACGTTGCCAGCGACCTTGACCGCGCCGCCGACAGTCGAGGCACTGAAGGTGAGAGTCGACTTGCCGTTCTTGGTCGCGACGTAGAACGACACGATGAAGGTGGTGATGGTGAAGTACACGGGAATCGCGTAGATGCCGGCGCGCAGCGAGTTCTTGCGCTTCATGACGGCGTAGAGCGTGATGGTGTAGATTATAGCGGCAAGAATTCCAGCCACAGCCGGCGCGATGACCCACGACGCCGCGACCTGCCCCACGCCCTTGTTGTCCCAGCCCCAATTCACGGCGTCAAAGCCGAACGCGCTGACGCCGACGCCGATAAGCGCGCCGATGACAGAATGTGTGGTGGACACGGGCAAGCCAAAGTACGTGGCGGTCATGACCCACGTGGAAGAGGCTACCAGCGCGCACATGAAGCCCGACATGAGGAGGTCGGGGCGATTGTTGAATAAGCTGGTTTGAATAATTCCGTCTTTCACGGTCTTCGTCGTGGTGGCGCCAAGCGCAATCGCTCCGCCGAATTCCGTGAATATGGCGATGCAGACGGCTTGAGAGAGCGTGAGCGACCGCGATCCGACGGACGTGGCGTAAGAGTTGGCGACGTCATTGGCTCCTGCGCAATGGGTACAAAGAAGGCAATGTCAGCGAATGTGGAAGCTGGAGACGGGAAAGAGAATCAAATGCAGCGAGCATGACAATGATGCTTACCGATAGAGTAGCCATCTAGAAAGGCGAACAGCATGCTAACCACGAATATCCATGTGTAGGAATGAACGGGCATTACGACGGCGGCCATGGTGCCTAGCTTTCAGAGACCCACCAAGAGGCTCAAGGAGTGGCAGTGCAGTGCGGTAGATTGACGAGAGGAACCTGCCCTGCACTACAACTTGTAGTGCAGAACAGAATTGCAGAGGTGCAACTGACTCGTTGCGCCTTGCAGGGCTGAAGGGCGACCTTTGTAATCATGGAAAGTCGAGTGATCCCTTGTAAATGCGAGCTTGTCGGCCGCAACCTAGCCTGTAATCGCGATCCCGCGATCCGCCTTGCTGCAGCAATGCGGCCTGCAGACGAGTGGGCGATAATGGAGGTTAATATACTCTAAAATCAAAATATTTCCAAACGATAACCAGGCTCTGAGCGAGAAAGTCTCGTTCGTTGATGCATGTCATGGATAATTTGGGTGGTTGATTTGTAGGCTTTGTTGACCTTAGGGCTGGTGCCCGCAAAAGTTTTTCTGGTTTTTGAGCCAGCGGAGTTGGCGCAAAGCATGTCGGTGTCTGGGCTCGCCCTGGAGAATTCAAAAAAGAGGTATCAAGAAAGATGCTCCAGGTGCGGCTTGCTGCATGAGCGTATTGCTGCACCACATGCAACCTGTGTGTTTATTCGGCATTGTGCTATGCTTCGTGCCAGGCTGTGTCGAAAAACATTAATCCCTTCTAAAGCATGCACCAGAATTAAAAATCTGAGAGTTTTATGCAATTTTATATTTCTAATTTCGGTCTGATTGTCTGACTTTACTTACCATTTTCTTAGCCATCCTGATTTTTCAGGCTGAGTTTGTTCCCTACCGCTCGATTGCACACACCTGCTCTTTCTCTTTTCCCCTTTCTCTCCCCTTCCTACTGCTTGCAGCGCTGCCCTGACACTGACCAGGAGGTTCGCCTTCTAGCGGAAGCTGAGAAGTAGCTTTGTAGGTCACTCGATTTCCAGCCCACAGAGGAACAATGAAAGGTGTGCAAGGGAATGGCAGTTCTGACCTCCGGCTTGCTTGCATCCATCAGGATCCCCCATGCTATTCGATGCCAAGGATCCATCCATCCCACCAGCCATCCACATATGATTCCTCCATCACCATGCCATGCTATGCTGTACCATGCCAGGCTATGCCAGGCTTACTCTTTCTGTTGGCCTCTCCCTCTCTCTCCTCCCCTCTGTGATTTTGTCTAACGCCATCTTTCCAGGCACAGATGGGATGGAGTATGGGGATCAGTGCAGTGGGCTGTTGTACAGCATTCCGTATGCAGCTGCACCGCATCCTGCTTGCTGAGTTGGCGGACATTGGCAGGCTGGCCGCAATTGGTTGCTCTAATCTAAATGAAAGAGTCTTCAGATTTCTTAGGCAGTCCCTACCAGTACAATATTCTCCACGACACAACAGATGTCACACACACCACAGCATTGCCACTAGTAATACCATCATAATCTAATCAGAAGCAAGGCCTTGCTGAATTCCAGTAGGCCCTTATGAACCCAGAACCTCCTAAACCCACCAAGCCCAAAATAATCACTACATTACCCTCCCTTCTTCAAGCCTACATGCCGGGTGGCATGGTAAAGCTGGGCCCGCGCGTCAGGATTGCATAGAGCAAACCAGAAACGGTTCCTGCCAGGGGGAGTGTGAGAATCCATCCAAAGCCCGAAATGGCCACCATGGTCCAGTTGATGGCCCGCCAGTTGCCGTTGCACAGCCCAACCGCGACTGTCGCGCCCACAATGCACTGCGTGGTGGAGACCGGCAGCGCGAGGAACGACGCGGTGATGACAGAGAGTGCTGCACCAAGCTCCATGGAGAACCCACGTGACGGCGAGTGGTACGTGATGTTGTTCCCGAGGTTACGCATGATGTGGTAACCATCTGTAGCGATAAATTGACAGCATGGGAAGGTAGAGGCGAAGAGGGGGGAAGAGGCAGCGAGTCACCTCGCATGGACGACAGAGGCCGCAACGGCCAGAGCTATCATAGCATGGCACAGTTTGCGTGGCATGATGGCACGAGCAAAGAGACGAACTTACACAAGGCGAGGCCGAAGTCGATGCCGAGACCGGCGTACGCAAGCATCCACGTGGGTACGCTCGCCTCCGTCTTGAAGGTTCCCGAATCCCAGATCTGATACACTCCGGCGAGAGGACCCAGCGCATTCGCGACGTCGTTGGACCCGTGCGCGAAGCTCGCGAACCCGGCGGTGATGACTTGCAGCAGCGAGTAGAGATACTCCGTCTTGTTGTCGTACAGCACCGCCACCTCGTGCGCGCGCACCGCGCCCTTGTTCTCATGCTGCAGGCTAGCAACGTCCATGAAAATCGACTGCCACAGCAGCAGCTTGATCTTATTGTATAGGAGCACGGCCGGGTTCTTCGACCTCGGCTTCTCGGGCTCCTTCTCCTTGCTCTCCTCGGGATCCTCGACCGGCATTCCCAGCTGCTTCTTCTCTTCGTCGCTCAGCAACTGCGGCGTGAAGGCGCGCTTCAGGTACATGTCGATCTTGGGGTCCTGCGGCTGCTCCGGCACGCACCAGATGTAGAAGATGTGGTACCACTTGAGTGTCTCCTCCTTCTCCAGCCGTCGGATGAAGAAGGGCACGAGCAATCCGACGCAGAAGATGAGCATCACGCCGGTTACCGCGCCGATGATGCCGAACGCAAGGGCAACATTGCCTTGTACCTTGATGGCGCCGCCGGTGGAAGCGGGCTTGAAATCGAGGGTCGACTTGCCGTTCTTGGTCGCGACGTAGAACGACACGATGAAGGTGGTGATGGTGAAGTAGACTGGAATCGCGTAGATGCCAGCGCGAAGGGAGTTTTTGCGCTTCATGACGGCGTACAGCGTGATGGTGTAGATGAGAGCGGCGAGAATGCCGGCGAGAGTCGGCGCGAGCACCCACGACGTCGCGATCTGAGCGACGCCCTTTCCGTCCCAGCCCCAATTCACGGCGCCCGTTCCGTACGCGCTAATACCGACTCCGATAAGCGCGCCGATGATGGAATGCGTAGTGGAAACGGGCATTCCTAGGTACGTAGCGACCATGACCCACGTGGATGACGATATCAAAGCGCACATGAAGGCCGACATAAGCAGGTCCGGGCGATTGCTGAAAAGGTCTGTCTGGATAATTCCGTCCTTGACTGTCTTTGTCGTACTGGCTCCCAGCGCAATCGCTCCTCCGAACTCCGTGAAGATGGCGATGCAGACGGCTTGGGCGAGCGTGAGCGACCGCGAACCGACGGACGTGGCGAAAGAGTTGGCGACGTCATTGGCACCTGCGATGAACACAATCAGGGGACAATTTCTGAGTAATGAGGCGTGTGCGACGGATTGGTAAGTAAAGTGAAGGAAATAAAATTAAATGCCGCAGCGGGCATATAAAATTCTTGCTTACCGATAGAGTAAGCGTCCAAAAAGGCGAAGAGCATGGTAATGACAAATACCCATGTGTAGGAATGGACAGCCATTACGACAGCCATGGTGGCTGGCTTCTACAGGCAGTCGCCAAGCGGCTCCTAGGAATGCCAATACAGCAAGCAGGTTTAGTGGGGACGCAACACGCGAGGCTGAGCCTGCTCCTGAATCGAGCTCAGCGATCAAGACAGACTGATTTTCTGAACTTGGTCCTGGGCAAGGAGCTGCTGCCTATTTGTAAAGTTGAAATGCGCAACACAAGCGATTTGGTGTTGGGGAATTGACATGCAAATGTGAGATGTATCCTAGCCTGGAACCGCGACCGCATGCCACACCCTTTTGAAGAAGGGCGGCCTACGGTAAAGAAGCCAATTAAACAGGCTAGTCTTTTTTTGGAAAGCTATGCGATTTCTATCTGTATGCAATCAAAAATAGTGAGTAAAACTTTCGGGTTTCAAAATTAACCAGCATTAAATAATTGCTTAGCTAGAAAAGAAACGTTTTGTTAAGGTGGGTTGGCACAAAACAGGTCGACTTCCCATGTTCACAGCAGCAAAGATCCCCAGGTGGAAGATACCCCAGCTGGGGCCTGTAACAGTAGGGGCTGCCTGCTGATTCGGCCATGTGACTAGGTTAGTACAGTAAGCATCCTGTGATTGGCTGTTCGTACACATCTCTTCAGAGACGCACAGGAATCTTGAATCGCAGTCGTTCATTCCAATTTTAGATTCCATACCGCGTCGCTCTTACGACCCGTCGTCAGCTTGGCTTAACTCGTGGAGGTATGGAGCCTAGGTTCCACGTCACATGAAGAAGCGCCCGCGAATGAATATCGCCCTGAAACTCGACCAGCAATGTCTAGGGGAGGTTCTTGGGTTTAGGGTTGCCGCTGCACACATCAGACTAAAAGAGTGGTTTTGAATGTACGCCTTAGTGGGGCTCCAAATGTTATAAGCACGAGCATTTCAGTAAGTACAATGAGAAAGCGGGAGTCTACAAGAAGAATTAAGATGGCATCTCGTAGATTCCCAACTCCCCATGCAGTTCCAGGGTTATTGTTTCAGACAAGGTTGTCTGGTCGGGTCTCACTCTCCCCGCTGGCTGGCGTATTGTCAATTTTATCAATAACAAATTCTAAATACTGGAGAAGGATCATGCAAAACACATAAACTTACAAAGATCAAACACATAGAATCAGTTCAATGATATTTGTTAGCCCCATGCTCTTCACAATTAGCATGATTCTCTTTATTCCTTATGCAAACCAGATAGGGCAACAGCACCCAGGAGACTCCATTTTTTTTTTTTTTTTTCGAGTCGACCCAACAAGGTCGAGTCATTTCTAACATATAATACCTGAGTCCAATTTTCAATTGACCTAGACATTTTCATATTAAGTCCCAGAAACTGGCTTCACGCTTTTGAAAGAGGAAAAGGGAAAGAGGGAGAAGGAAAAGGGAAAGAAAGACACCATAAACAAACAACTCAAACGCAACACCCATAAAAAGCCCCATAAAAATACTCCATAAATACTCCATTTTCCTGTCACTTAGTGGCCTGGCCAGGTGGGCTGAAATCACGCGTTCAGTCCATTTGGAAAGGAGACGTTGGCGTTTCTATGATAAAACATCTCCTTGCAATGGAGCTGCTGAAGAGACTGAAATCGCCAGTGGCATCATTACTCAATGGTTAAGCCACAAGACTTTATGAACCAAATAAGCCCTTCTAGAACCTATGAAAACCTATCCTCAGGAACCACACCCTACCCTTTCCACAGGCTACATGCCAGGAGGCATGGTGAAGCTGGGTCCGCGCGTGAGGATCGCATACAGCAGCCCTGCGACCGTGCCCGCGAGGGGGAGTGTGAGAACCCATCCGAAGCCAGAAATTGCCACCATGGTCCAGTTGATGGCCCGCCAGTTGCCGTTGCACAGCCCCACCGCCACGGTCGCGCCGACAATGCACTGAGTGGTGGAGACCGGCAGCGCGAGGAACGACGCGGTGATGACGGAGAGAGCTGCACCGAGCTCCATGGAAAACCCACGCGACGGCGAGTGGTACGTGATGTTGTTCCCGAGGTTTCGCATGATGTGGTAACCATCTGCAGGGAGGGAGAGAAGAAGAATATCAGAGTGTCACCCAGGCAGGGAGACTGAATGATGGCAGCGGTGGCGAGGAAGTGAGGAAGGGACGAAATTGGAGAAGAGGCATTGAGCTCACCTGGATGGCTGCGTGTTCGTTAGCACAGCGGCACGGGGCAGAGGCGACGGCAGGCAAGGTAAGAGCGACTTACACAATGCGAGGCCGAAGTCGATGCCGAGACCAGCGTACGCAAGCATCCACGTGGGCACGCTCGCCTCCGTCTTGAAGGTTCCCGAATCCCAGATCTGATACACGCCAGCAAGAGGGCCCAGCGCGTTCGCGACATCGTTGGACCCGTGCGAAAAGCTCGCGAAACCGGCGGTGATGACCTGTAACAGCGAATAGAGGTACTCCGTCTTGTTATCGTACAGCACCGCCACCTCGTGCGCGCGCACCGCGCCCTTGTTATCGTGCTGCAGACTCGCAACGTCGATGAAAATCGACTGCCAGAGCAACAGCTTGATCTTATTGAACAGACGCACGGCCGGGTTCTTCGGCTTGGGCTTCACGATTTCCGTCTCCTTCATCTCCTCGGGGTCCTCGACCGGCATTCCCAATTGCTTCTTCTCGTCGTCGGTCAGCAACTGCGGCGTGAAGGCGCGCTTCAAGTACATGTCGATCTTGGGGTCCTGCGGCTGCTCCGGCACGCACCAGATGTAGAAGATGTGGTACCACTTGAGTGTCTCCTCCTTCTCCAGCCGTCGGATGAAAAAGGGCACGAGCAATCCGACGCAGAAGAGCAGCATCGCGCCGGTCACGGCGCCGATAATGCCGAACGCCAGCCCCACGTTGCCGTTGACCGTGATGGAGCCGCCGGTGGAAGCGGCCTTGAACTCGAGCGTTGACTTGCCGTTCTTTGACACGACGTAGAACATGACAATAAAGGTGGTGAGTGTGAAGTATACCGGAATCGCGTAAATGCCCGCGCGAAGCGAGTTTTTGCGCTTCATAACGGCGTACAGCGTGATCATATAGATGAGAGCGGCGAGAATGCCGGCGAGCGTCGGCGCGAGCACCCACGACGTCGCGATCTGAGCGACACCTTTTCCGTTCCAGCCCCAGTTCACGGCGCTCGTGCCGTACGCGCTAATGCCGATTCCGATAAGCGCGCCGATGATGGAATGCGTGGTGGAAACGGGCATTCCTAGGTACGTGGCCACCATGACCCACGTGGACGACGACACGAGCGCGCACATGAAACCCGACATGAGCAGGTCCGGGCGATTGCTGAAAAGGCTCGTCTGGATAATTCCGTCCTTGACTGTCTTTGTCGTACTGGCTCCCAGCGCGATCGCTCCTCCGAACTCCGTAAAAATGGCGATGCAGACGGCTTGTGCGAGCGTGAGAGACCGCGAACCGACGGAGGTGGCGAAAGAGTTAGCGACGTCATTGGCACCTGCGATGATTGAAAGGATTGTAGGAAAGAAATGTCAATAAACAATTTGTTTTGCTACACTTGCCATGGGTTGAAAAGTCTGAGGTACGATTTAATCATTTGCAGAGAACACGATCAATGTTGCGCACCGATGGAGTAGGCGTCCAAAAAGGCGAAGAGCATGGTCAAGACGAACACCCATGTGTAGGAGTGGACGGCCATTACCACCGCCATGGCGGCTAACTTTCAGGGACTTCAGCCAAGTGGCTCTAAAAAGTGGAAATGTGGTACCGCAGGTGTGCTGCAGAGAAACAGGAAACTGGAGTCCTCTTTCAGAACTGAGCTTCACAACAAGCTGCTGCGGCTGCTTTATTCTACTTTGATAGCCTGAGCTGCAGCTCACTTCGAAAACCTCTGAAGGGGGTGATTGAGAATTGACATCAAGAGCGTGCCATGCCATGACGCCCCCAACGAACCGCGATCAGGCAGTTCTCCTTTCCGCGGGGGAGCTGCCTTGAGATAAATTGAATATGTGATGAGGGCTATAATTTCCGACTTCCCTAAACGACAGTCGAAATCTGCAGTGACCTTCACAATGCACACCAGGATGAGTGCTTTGCACGTTAAAATATGTATTTCTTGCAGTCTTGAGACATCGCTTAACTATTTTCCCAGCTCGAAAAGAAACGTTTTTGTGGCGGGTACCCGAAAAACATATCAGGTTCCCAAGCCCACGGCACGGCTTCCGCAAACCAGCAGGAAGATGCTCCATCTGCGGCTTGCCACGTCTGCCTAGCGTTGTGGCTAGATTCCTTGCCAGAAATGTGTTATAGAATACTAATCTGTGATTGGTTGTGCAGACACATCTCTCTGGAATCATTGATCTGAGTCGTTCATTCTAAGATGCCCTTTAGATTCCATCACGCATCGCGTTGTGATCTGCCGTCAAATGTACAATGTGCAACAGTGCGCAGGTGGGATGGGTGCGCTCCAACCAGATTGCCAGGAACCTGGATACCACGTCAGCCTAAGTTCCCGCCACGGATGCATCTGTCTCGAGCTTGCCTAGTCGTCCTCGAGAAGGGTTTCCGAGGGTTTAGCCACATACGATTTTGACAGGTTTCGCGTTGGAATTACTGTACAAGCATTGTAACGACTCGCATAGGTTATCTGTGTTATCGGGTTATGTATATCCATCCTATTGTTCAGAAACGCGGATACATTCATCAAACATAGGCCGATTGGGCGCGCTAGCATCCATCAGGAATCGACAAGTTTCCCTTACCATCCCTTGATTCTTACACTTAGCCCTAATCACGTGCTGCCGTTCGTATGAACGGAATTACGCGCGGCGCATCGTCGGAAGCACGCAGAGATTCCGCTGAACCGTCGCAGCGAAGCATTGCGGGCGACGTTGACGGCTCGGGGCGACTGCTGCTGAGCGCGGCGCGTGTTTCGCTAGCAACCGCAGATGCTGACTCAGCAACGGCTAGCGCGAGAGAAAGCCATGATGCGACAGTTGCGGGAGCCGAGGCGCAGATGAAACGACTCAATGACACGTGGCGGCAGGAGCAGCATCGTCTGCGTCAGCGGTTGATCGTTGACGACGCGCTCGACTGCCAGCCGCCGCCGCTCCTGCGTGCTGCGGGAAATGCGGAGCTTGCGGAGGGATCCAATCAAGCGGAGAGGGAGGAAACTGCGGGGAATCTGGAGTCGCCCCAAATACAACCGGCCCGAATACAGCCGCCCCTGGTTCATCCACCCCAGATACGACCTCCCCTGGCCCTGGTGGGCGGCGTGGACGTGAGCTTCCACCGGCGCGACCCGGACCTGGCGGCTGCGTGCCTGGCAGTCGTCGCCTTCCCCAGTCTGCGCCTGCTGCACCACGAACTCGCGCTCACGCGCGTCACCCAGCCGTATATACCCGGCTTTCTGGCGTTCAGAGAGGTGCGCAGGGGTTGAGATGAGATGCAGAGGAGTGCGGTGCTGTGGGAAGGATTTCGAGTTTCTGCCATGCATTCCACGTTTCTCTGTCCCGTTCCCGTGCAGCCAGCGCTCTCTGTCCTCTCTTACCCCTCCCTCGCCCTTCTCCCCCCTCTTCCCGTTCCGCCCTGCCCCCACCGTGCCCCTCCGATCGCCATCCTCCCCTCGCGCCCCTCCGTGCGGGCAGTGCGGCGTGCTGGCGGGGCTGATCCGCCGCCTCAGGGACACGCACCCGCACCTCGTGCCGCAGGTGGGGGTGATGCGGGATGGGAGGGGGTGATGAGACGGGAGGGGGTGATGCGACGGGAGGGGGTGATGCGACGGGAGGGGTTGATGAGGGATGGGAGGGGGTGATGAGGGATGGGAAGGGATGAGGAGGATGGGAAGGAGTGGTGAGAAAAGGGAGGGGGGAAAGATGAGCAGGAGAACGAGCAGGGTGCATTAGGGGATGGAATTCACAATTTAGGCTTGCTAAGTCTAATCCCTAAATTTCTGCCACGTGGCAATTTTCCATTGGTTCACTGCCCGCAGGTCATCATGGTGGATGGAAATGGCATCTTCCATCCGCAGGGTAAGCCCACTGCTGTGCCATGCCATGCCATGCCATGCCATGCCATCATGGGCTGTACTGATGCCTGTCACTACCTGCACTTACCGTCCGCTCGCACCCCAATCTCTCACTACTTCTCCTTTCAGTTCCTCTTCTTCACCCCTCTCACTGCACCCACCTCTACGCCCACAACCCCCCTGTTTCCTCCGTGCGTGCATGCAGGATTTGGGCTGGCGTGTCAGCTGGGCGTGCAGGCAGACATCCCCACCATTGGCGTGGCTAAGAACGTGAGAGCCTCGCACCATGCATGCCTCGCATCGCACCATGCATGCCTCGCACCATGCATCCCTCGCTGCCCCATGTGTGCCATGCCCCATGAGTGCCATGCCCCATGTGTGCCATGCGCCATATGCCATGGTTTTTCGAGCAAGCATGACCATGATGATGCACCATGCCATATACCATGCACCGTGCCCCCATGCATACTCCTGCTGTCATCATCAGACACATCATGCTTCTATCTATACTCGCATGCCCTACCTTTCCCCTCCATCTTCCCCCTCTCCCCCTGCTTTCCCCTCTCTCCCCTCCCCCACCTCTCCCCCTTGCATCATCAGATGTATTACATGGATGGCATGACGGATGAGCACGTGGGCGGCTTGAAGCAGCAGCATCTGCACCAGCCGGGTGACTGGGCATTGCTCACAGGCGCTAGCGGTGCCACGCATGCCGCCGTCAGTGCTGCTCCCCATGCTGCCCGGCACCCTATGATCGCATTGCTCTGCATCTTCCTCCGCTCCCCATCCCTGAACCGCATTCATGAATTCTCACGTGTGACATCATGGTCCCGTCCATTGGTCACCCATCTCCACAACAGCCCCCCTCACCCATCTCCACAACAGCCCCCCTCACCCATCTTCACAACCCCCCCTCACCCCATTCCCGCTTGCCCCCCTCCCCACCCGTTCCTCCACTCTCCACTCTTCCCTCCCGCTCTCCTCCCCATCCCCCTCCTCCCTCCCTTCCCCACTGCTCCCCCATGTGGCACATCTCCCATCAGCTGGTGCGGGGGGGCCCAGGCAGTCACGACCCGGTGTTTGTGTCGGTGGGCCATCGAATCTCTCTCACAACAGCAGTGGCCATCACACAGCGCTGCTGCAAGCACCGTGTGCCCGAGCCCGTGCGCCTGGCTGACGGGCTGTCCAGAGCCGAGCTGCGGGGGGTGACGGTGGTGGAAACAGTGGGTGGAGAGAACAGCGGAGCTTCGGTGGAGCAGAGAAGCTCTGGAGAAAGCTAGAGCGGTTGAAGCTACACAGTGCTGCTGCGAGGGCCTGAGCCTGTGTGCCTGGCTGATGGGCTGTCTCGCGAAGCTGCAGGGAATGGTTGTGACAGCAGCAACGGGTGATGATGAGTGCAGCGGATCTGTGGCACAGCAGGGAGGCTTTGGAAAAGGCCTGTGGATGTGTGTATTTTAGTTATTAGCTCTTATGTACAGCATAAACCCCTAGCTTATCTACATATGTACATGCATTTCCTGTACATAAGATCTCCCTTCCGTACCAACATAAACCTCTTCACCTATGCTATGACAACACTATCCTAAAGCACTATCTCCAGCTGCCGGAGGGTTCGATCCACGGGCATCACACTCGCCCCCATGGCAGCACACAGCAGGCGCATGCTGAAAGGGGTTCCCAACCAGCGGTGCCAGGACCGTTCCCCTCGCAGAGCAGAAAAGAAGCACAACCGCGGCCTTCCAACCAGCTGCACCCGTGCTACTCTTCTCTTGGAAACACTATCTCCAATTGTCTCAGTGATCGATCCACGGGCGTCACGCTCGTCTCCATGGCAGCACACAGCTGGCGCATGCGAGAGTACAACCACCGCCGCTCCTCCGCACTCACATGCGTACTCGCCTGCATGCGCCGAATGGCATTCGGGAACAGGCTGATGCTCGTGAAGCGGCACGAGACAGGATCAAGGTGCAACTGGAAGAGGAACGAGAGGTCGTTGCGATAATCCTCGTCTACTCTGTAATCGTCGATGAAGTCCCCGCAGCTGTACAGGATGGGAGCGCCGTGGTGGCACTCCACGCCTTGTATGTGGTGCGCCGACGTGCCTATAACGAGGCTGGCGCCGCAGCGGTCAATGAGGGCGTGGGCGAGGTGGCGGATGGCAGGGCTGGGGTGCCATGCGTAGTTGGGGCCCCAGTGCATGCACACCACTGCGAGTGTTCGAGCAGAGCGCTCCTTTGCGGCTGCCACGAGGCCAGTGATACGGTGTAGGTCAGCGTCGGTGACTCTAGGCATAGGTGACGGCAGGAATGGTGAGGGAGAGATGCGAGAGGGAGAGAGGGAGGGTGACAGTGAAAGACTGAGCGAGATAGAAAGAGAGGGTTCTTGAGTGAGAAGGGGGAGAGAAGAGTACATGTGGAAAAAGGCAAAAGTGCGAAGGATGCATGACACAGTGGAGAATCAGAGTGGAGCGCACTGTGTAACAGTAGAGCACATGCAGTCACAATGTTGCTTCTACACATATTCAACTCCCAGCGTGAACCGATACAAATGCAGTCACATGCACAGTTAGAGGGGCATATGAATTATCATACGAGGTTGGATGCAGCATGGAATGGTTAAACTGACTAGAATCATGGGCTCACCTCTCAGGGTCTATCAGGTGGATCCCGGGGGAGTCTTCAGTAGCCGCCCAGTGCTTGAAGTGGTCGGCAGCACTGAACAGCGCCAGCTGGATGGGCGGCAACGAGCTGCTGCCACTGGGGAGCTGATTGCGCATTCAGGAAGCAGGATGGGAGAGAGAGTGTGGTGGAGTGAGGGAGAGGAGAATGGGGGGCTTGAGAATGATGCACGGACTGCTTAGGCTCTGCTGACATACAAAAGGAAGAAACAGTGATCCCCCCTAAAAAAGCGTTGCAGAGGCACAACAGGGTACGCATGTTCATGCAACCAGCCATGCATGCGACCCTTCATGCGTGTTCTCATGACATGGGGCATGGTTCTGGGTTCACGGATGCAAATGTGCTCACACACACCGTGATGAACGCCGGTGCTGAGGCCTCCGCCAGGTTCCGCCCGCAGCCAGCAAATCGGATGCCGACACGTGTCAAGCTATCCATGGTCTCGCACATGCCCTGCGCCTGAAAGTCGAGCACGTGGTTGTTGGCCAATGAGCAGAAGTCAATGCTGGGCGGTTGGCGGGGAGTTGGTGGGGGATTGGTAAGGGATCGGTGGGGGAGTCGTGGGGGAACATTGGAAAATTGGCCAGGGAATGGTGAAGAAAGTATACACAAGGAGGGAGGTATCACCTATAATGAGATGAGTGGGCAAGGAGAGAACTCTAGTAAATTTCAATAGCATGTCGAGACATGTTTCGACATGCATTTATGTTGATGGACTGAGAGGCCGTACCCAGCTACAGTGAGTGCATCGATATTGACCGGGTGCATCCTGAAGTTGAACGCCTGATTGGGCCACTTGTCGCGATGACGTGTCACACTCGTTTCCAGATTTGCTATCCGGCAGTCAGCCGCCCGTAGCAGCGGCAACCAGCCATCCCAGATGTACCCTGCTGACGTGTCTGCAGCTGCTGACGTGGTTGCAGGTGCGCCCGCTGTAGTGTCGGGCCAGAAGCTTTCCGGTATGTGTGCACTATCCTCGTCAGCACCTTGCTCAGCCTGCCATGCCTGATGGCAGGGCGAGGTTGGAAGAGGTGCGGTGAGTTGAAAAGGGGTATCGTGTGACGTGAAGCGGGTAAGGAGAGGTGCAGCAAAGTGTGGTGGAGAGCTGAGAAATCGAAAAGGAGAGGAAACGGATCTACAAACGTGGGGAGAAGGTGTGTCCCGATGGTCTCACAGCTGCAAGGGCACTGGAGTGCTGGTCGATGTGCTCATCCGCTCTCCGAAGCACGGCGTTGCCTCGTCGCAACAGCATGCGGTTCACCAGACGACCCAGCATGCAGTCGCCCACCACCGCTATCGTCGTCGCCCGCGCGCCTGACGTCGCACAGGTCGCCATGTCGCTCCCCTCTGACATCACTCGCTTCTGATGCTGCGACTATTACTGCTGAAACCAATTAACCTTTTCTTTCTGCTCTAGATTCCGTTCAGGCTCGTAAAGGTACATGTGCAGCGCAACTGTTGCGAGATGTGCAATACCCGCCAATGCTTAATCAGTGCACACTTATCTTTCTCCACTCCTACCCACTTTCTACGCACTCAACCCCCACTGCCTATGCTGACGAGTCCTCTTGAGCTCAAGTTCCGTGGCCACAGATTGCTCTTAATCCACGTGCCATGTTGCCATCTTTCCCAACACTGAAGCACGCGATACATCATTGTTGCGCGGACAAGAAACGCTTCACAGAGGGAGGCAAGCTGATCGAGTCAAAATGCTCGAGGCGGCTTCACAAAAAACTGAGATGAAAGTGACTGGAAAGCAAATCCACGTGTAAGCTTGTGATGGCTTCATGCCATGCATCGTTGTGGCGAAAGGGAACGAAAACAAAACAGCTCAAAATGTCTGAACCCGGAATCGAACCGGAGACCTCCAGTGTGTGAGACTGGCGTGATAACCGACTACACCATCCAGACATGTAAATTTTATCATGGTGCACTTTTACATAGTAAAAGTTCTAACCACTCCTCCTACTAACATTCCTCTAAAGATAGCTCGACTCGCACCACTGATCAACAATTATCACCTAGCATTGTAACTATATCCACAATTTGTTCAGCAGCACTACCTCAGCGAGGTAGCATACTTCAGGAAAGCTACAGTTAGGTCAAATATCCAAAACCCGTTTTACTGGAGAATGCTCTCAACAGCCTCGAAGACAAGAGGTGCCCACTCAGGACTTGGTGTCTTGATGGCACACTTCGTGCCAGAAACGCCGAGCAAGAACGTGATCTCCAGAAGAATAGGGATGGATGGGGCCAGCTTCGCCGAAAGGTAAAGGATGTTTTGGTTCGTGTCCTTGAGGTGGCGCTTTGCCACAAAGAAGACGTTGTTCGAAGCCAGCTTTTCTGAGACGGAGTCGATGTTCGAGATTGTTATGCCTGACAAATCACGGGAGACCTCGTTGGAATCCGGAAGCGCCTTCCATGTCTGTGGAGTAGGACATGGGCATATGGTCAATGAGTGAGTGATACATACCCAACTCAGCTCGACTGCCCAGCCAACACAGCAGCAGAGACATGCTGTAACGAGCAATGCAAAAAAAAAAACATCCTCTACCACACTTTGACATGCTCACCTCAAGGAACACTCCACGTTCCATCCGTCCCTCTTCGGTAAAGAATGCCTGCACTCTGATTTTGTCAGTAAAATACCAGACTGGCTGCTGGTTGTTTTTCACCGCAACTTGAAGGACTGACGATGGAGGAGGAGGAGACACGTTTTGAAAGAGGGTCAATGGCAGATCAGCTGTTGCTGATGCACCTGGTTGAAGCGGTGGCACCTGCAAGACCATCAACACAAAGCATTAAATACAAGACAAGACTACCACATCCAGCACAACCAAACTTGGATCCATGTCTTACAGGTAAAACGCCAGCTGGAGCAGATATGCCGAAGGAGTTTTTATTAAGCTGCATCATGAAGCCATCCAAGGCTGTGCTGGAGTTGTTGTCAAACTTGACACGGTAAACCACCTGGCCATCCTTACGCTCCAGTTGACCATTGATCTGCAGCCCTTGACCAGCTGACGCTGCTAGAAGAACTGGAAGAGAAGGTCTGCATAAAAAACACAAAGTAAATGAGAGAACCAGCCCACCATTGGACAGGAATATTCAGGTGCTATATATGGAACAGGGTCCATAAGCAGAGAAAGCCTTACCCAGAAGGCGCCTCAGGCGCAGGAACTATAGCAGCATCCAGACCCATAAGGTCACCAAGAAGGTCAGGTGGGGCAGGAGCAGCTGCGGGAGCAGGAGCAGCAGGAGACGGGGACGGAGCAGGAGCAGCTGGTGCTGCAGCTGGAGGAGGAGCTCCTCCTGAAACAGGAGCAGACGACTCCTCATACTCTTCAGACGGCTCAGCTGCTGATGCTGGCACAGCAGAGCGGAGACGAGATACAAAGGCTGAAGGCGGCTTCTGGTAGACAGAAGACAAGGTTGCAATGTTTCGAAGGAGTTCAGCCAGCAAATCCGGGTCCAGCCCGGAAACCTCGTCACTGATCGTTGGCTTCTCTGCGAGGACAATGTCTTTTGCTGCCTCAGGGTCTGTTGAGAGAAGCCTCCAGTACACATAGGCACGGTCTCGAAGGTCAGGATTGTCCGTCTCTTGGGTTGCGTTGTTGAGAACCGTCTGCACAAGAACAGAAACCTCAGTAACAATAGCAAACATGAGGTGCAAGATCAGCGAAGCAAGTCTGGAGAAAACTTTCCTGAATCATTTGTTGTGGGCCCTCTGTTGGCTTCTTCAAGAAAAGCTTCACTGCTGCTGTCAGCAATTGCAGCTGAACCTGTGAGGGCTCCTCCAAAAAGGTTTCCAAGAAGCCTTCCAAGAGTTCATCGGCATTGTCAATGCGCTCAGCGTACTCTCCAATGATCCATATCATCGACGCCTGCATAATGCAATGGCCACGTGAGATGTGATGCACCAAGTAGCTAAAAAAAAAAAAAATGATGATCAACCATCTGTACCTTTGCCTCTGGTTCATCCAAATTGTCCAAGCTTTCACAGAGTGTTGCAATTATGGATTCATACCTGCTCACATAGGTAACAAGCAACCAGTTGTAAGTGGGTGTATGACCAACAGATTACACAACATCGGATTGCTTCACTTACGTGTTTGGATATCTGCGGAAAATGTCCTTGATCACAACGATAGCCTCTTGGACAACGTAATTGACCTTGATCTTGATAAGGTCCAAGAGGACATTGATGCATCGCTCTGCAGCCTTCTCGAGCTTGATGGCACACCGGCCAATAGCACGAACAGCTTTCCTAACAAAATCCACATCCACCTCAGTTGCATACTCCTTGAACTCGAGCAGCACCTGACAACCAAATTCCCCAATTAATCTTGTAAGTACGCTGACAGAAACCACATGGATAGCGAGACAGAAGCATTAAGGCATATACCTGATCAATGTTTCTTTCAGAAGCGAGGCGAATCATGATCTCAAGCTTCTCCATCTTCACGTAGATGGGATCATTATACTTGCAAAAGAAAACCTAAAGAATGACGGGGAACAGATTAGTGCGAGTATTTCACCAGCAAAAAAAAGGAAAAAAAAAGAAGAAAAAAAACGGCATTTCAACTGACTTCACAAACCTTGATTTCATGTGCAAGAATCGATGGCCTCTTTTGCACGACGAGGTTGATGTTTCGCAAAGCCACATACTGAATCTCAGGCTCTGACGAAAGAAGCGTGACCAACGGAGGTGCCATCTTCTTGCACAGGTTCCGTATCAAGTCAGTGCTTGTGATAAGCTCCATTTGCAACAAAATGACCTGACCAATACAGCGTACATGTTGAGAACTTTGTTCATAGCAAAGCAGAAGGGGAAACGTTGCGCGACAACAAGGCCCAGCAGACGCACTTTGACAGCAGAAAGGACAACAGCTGAATTCGCATGTTGCAAACGCGGCGTGACGCGTTCCACAATTCCCTCAGCTTCACGAGCATCACGTGCTTTGTATTTGGAAAGAGAGTCCAAGATGAAAACCTGTCCCCACCTGAGGTCATGACACAAGTCGCTCGTTAGACACGTCAACAACTCTTCGGTTGGACACGAAACTATAGGAAATCACTCACTCGGTACACTCGTTCAGTGCCGCAAGCAATTTAAAGACTGTGTTAGGCGTGATGTCGAAGACAGGCTTGCTGCTGCCTTCTTGAATTTCGGAGAGAGCGGCAACGGCGTTCGCCACTACCATGGGATTGCTGTCAGAGATCATATCCCGCAGTATGTCTAGAAACCCACGATCCTCGACAAGCTCTGCGTTAATATCGTGGAGCTTGGCCACACAGATTGCCGCGGTCTTCCGAACGTACGGGTCGTCGTCCTGGAAAAATGGAAAGAACGGTTAGTTAGGGCAACCAAACCTCAGCTACAGAGGTTAACATAAGGTTGGCATGTACCTTCAGGCATCGCTGCAGTGGGTCACACAGGTACTCCGTGATACGATCAACCCTAATGCAACCCATTGTTCGCACCGCCAAGGCCCGTATGAGCGGATTCGGATCTTGCGAGTCCTGGAGAAAAGAAACGTCAGTGACTGAGCTCTACACCAAGTAAAATCGATCATTGAGGCGTTAAGCACCTTCACAAACGTGTTGACGGCGAGGATGGCAAGATCCGGCTGGCTCTTGGCATAGTTAATGAGGTACAGATAAACAAGCTTCTTCAGCTCCAGGTTCTCCGTCTGCATGCAGTTCACAACATCTGTGAACAACATGGACACGTCCTTGCCTACAGTCATGGCTGCAATAACCTTCTTGACAGCATCCTTCCTCTTCTCCTGCAGCACATATCCACAAATCGTATTTCAATGGTACGCTCAATAACCTACATCTGGCGTGATAACCAAAAATCGACTACGCAATGGTCCAAATGTTCCTAGTTTCAAGACGGCACCTTGTACGGCGAATTTAGCTCCTCTTTCAATTCATGAATCTCGCCCTTTTTTGTCGTCGTAAAATACTTGGAATCGTGACCGCTCATGGCTATAGCTTCTATGTAACCTGCTCAGGACGGACGACGGTCTAGGCGACAGCAGCCAGAGCCGAGAAATCTCCTAGCTCCTTGTGCCTGGAGCGGATCTGACTCCAGCAAGATCACCAACACAAGAATCGGGGGGTGGATGCACACGAAAGTGGTGAAACGGCTCGCTGGCGAGAAGCAGAAAGCATGCGAAAGTCGTTGAACCGTGACCAGCAGCAGGTAGGTAACGGGTATGAAAGTTAGCAGTTCGCAGTTATGCAATGTGTACATATCAGATAAAAAAGATAAAATTCCACTTACTTAACATTACCCGTAAAGTATCTCTTTAGGATTTATCGTGAGTAATTAAATGTTTTCCTGTATGTTTCATGTTTTGTTCAAATATGCATTGCACAAATGCGATATCATTTCATTAAAACTCACGTCAGTGCTCTAATGAATGTTATCACTGCAGGCTTCATGTGTGGTTATGCTGCAACACCTTCAGCATTTATGTAAATATTACGGTATTGATGTCTACTACTTTAATTAGAGAACCAACTATAGTGCACAGACTCTGCAACCTGCCAAATCTGGTCAAAAGTCCACAAACCAACTTCTCGGGGGAAACGTTTTCTTTCGCTGCCCACTTCCTCAAAATTTCATCTTTCTCCTTGATGAATAATGCCGTTGTGCCCCACCACACTGCCATTTCCCAGGCCCCACGCATTTCTTCAGGGCTCGAGTGATGGTCTGTGTGGCTGGCTCGTGTCTTTCCTCCGAACCGAATGCGCACACCAAACCAGGCAGACGCCTGTGGCTGCAGCAGCTCCGCTCTGCCATACCAGGCCAGGTTAGGACCTAGATGTTACCCTAGGACCAATCTCCCATTCCGTGGCTTGACGGTTCCCTTCTTCTGTGCTCCACCTAACTAAGTCGTACGGAGCGTGCTGCCTCTTTGAATAACCCTAACTTATGAGGTTGTCACATTGCCGAGAAAGAAGCTATTGTCGTGATTTTCGTACGACTGGAAATATTCTGGTTGTCGTATGTCAGGTGAGACCGTAATTTATCATTTTATCCTTGGTAGACTGGTTCTTCGATATGAGTTAGTGACATTGCCATGATGTTTCCGCGAGCGTGCCATCAACTAGCCAACTCTCGGCGTCATGCATAGCTTCACGAGACGGCTTCAGTAGCTCATTGACTGCAATCATGCAGCGGACAGACTCATTCTCTCGGCGCTTCAAGGGGGATGCGGAATTGACCGCGGCTCCTGTGTATCCTCGCAGCCGCAGCACGGGTCAAAGTAACAGCTACAGACCTGCTGAGGGGGATTACAACAGCTATAGTAACTATGAGCCAGATGCCGGTGGTGATAATTTCGATTTTGAGGAGACCACGTGGTCTCCCGCTCTCACTTCGGGCGGCGAGATTGCGCGAGACCGACCCACTCGGAACAACCATCGTCGGACGCTCTCCGTGTCGTCCGCGCTGCGGCCACAGATCTACCACAACTTTCACGACGCTGGCGACAACCAGGGCGTAGGCGGGGCCGTGCTGGGACTCTACGGAGAGCTGGGCAGCGCGGAAGGGGAGCTTTTGCGGCAGCGGAGCGAGCAGGCGAACAGGATCCCGGGATCGTCGTCCACTCCTAACGCGTATGGCCACAGGGCCCGGGCGTCGCTCGCCGCGTCGCTGGACGGAACAGGCAGCAGCAGCATGGGAAGCGGCATGGGCAGCGGCATAGGGAGCGGCATCGGCGGCATGGGAGGCGGCATCGGAAGTAGTGTGGTGGACAGCGAGGCGCTGTTCGCGGCGATGCGGGGGCGGCATCTGGGCGCGGGATCCGCGAGCATGGACGTAGAGCGGCTGGCGGACGCCGCAGGGAGGGACCTGGGGGGGAGGTACGATAGCGTGGGTGGCGGCAGGTATGGCGGGAGCATGCGGCTGGGAGGAGGGGACGGGGCAGCGGAGTTACGGAGGGTGCTGAGTCACAGGGAGAGCGACTTCGCCAACGGTCATACAGGCCGCCAAGACGGCTGGCCGGATCTGTCCTCTGATCCGGTACGAGCAGCAGCGCTTTTCATCAGTCGTTTTCTTTTTTGTTTTTTTAACTTTCTTTCGTTTTCGTCCGGTTACTGCCCATGCGACGTCAGCGAGTCCCCGTTCCTCCTTCCATGCATGTCGTCCACGGGTTCGGAGTGCCGTAAAATCTTTGTCTGCTCTTTGCCGTGCCAACCAAACCCCGTTCCCCCAGGCTTCCTTTTCCGCCAGCTCGTGGCGTGGCGGAGGGGACAGCTTCGCAGACCTCGTGGGGAAGCCCGGTGGAGGGTCGTCGGCGCTGGACTTCATCGATGGCGGCATGGGGATGGGCGCAGGCGCGGGGGGCGGAAGGCGCATGGGCGCGGAGGAACTGCTGGGGCTGGCGGGGGAGCTTAGACAAGGCAGAGGCGGGGGATTCGGCGGAGCCGGCGCGGGCATGCTGGGGTTCGCGGACGACGATTTGGGAGGGGTAGGCGGAGGAGGCGGCGGCGGCGGAGGGGGATTAGTGGGGGGAGCGGGCGCGGGGATGAGCGTGGGGGGCGGGGCGGGGGTGCAGCTGAAGGCGGTGTTGAAGCTGGTGGAGGCGGCGCACGCGAACGACGTGGCGCTGCTCAACAGCGTGCTGCAGGAGGCCTCCTCGCGCACTGCGCTCCTCAACGCGCTGCACCCAGGTAGTTCTACCGCTCCGCATGTGGGTATTTGAGTAGTTCTCGCTCGTCCCTACACACCCGCTGCCCCCTTTATTCCCCCCTGCCGCACAACCGCACCCTCACCCACTCCTCCACATCCTCCGACCCTCCCATCTCCCTTCTCCCATCTCCTTTCTCCCGTCTCCCTTCTCCCGTCTCGCATCCCCCTCGCTTCCCTTCCCCCCCGTCACCCTTTCTGATTGACTCTCTTCCCATCTTCCTTGCGCGCGCGTGGGCTGCGCTGCGCGGCGGCAGCGACGGGGAGGACGGCGCTGCACGAGGCGGTGGTGGCGGGCAGCCTGGACGCGGCGGCGCTGCTGCTGGAGTGGGGCGCGGACCCCGACGGGGGCACCGCCGCCGCTGAGGTGAGGCACGCGCGCGCCCTGGCATGGGAGCGTGCATGGCCGGCCGAGGGGCGTTGAGGGTTCCATAATGGGGGTTTTCATACTGCTCTGCTTAACGTCTGGTTCCGTGAAGATTCTTCTACACTAAGTATATGGGGTGGCTTACCACCCTGCCCTCTTGAGCCTCCCTCCTGCCGCCCCAGTTCCGTACCCTCCTCTTCTTCCCCCCCGCAACCCCACAATCATCTTACTTCCTGTTTCCACCCTCCACACCCCTCCCCTTCCCTCCCCCTGGGAATGCATTGGCGCGCAGGGAGGGCAGTCGCCGCCACTGATGTCAGCGGTGCAGGCGGGCAGCGAGGATGCGGTGCGGCTGCTGCTCACCAACGGCGCCGACATCAACGCCACGGACGCGCGCCTCTGCTCCGCGCTGCACTACGCCTGCGCCACCGGCCACAGGTGCGTGAAGGGGGGGGTCGCCTGATCGTCTTGGGCATGGGGCTTAGGGGGAGGGGGATAGTGAATGGTGGCGTGGGAGAGGGGAAGGGGGGCTGGAGGAGGGGTGAGGGTCATTGCCGACTTCTCACACTACCCCTCAAGCTTCTCAGTCCCCTCAGCACTCATTAATCCATTCTCACCAACCCCCATCTCGCACAACCACATTCCCTTTGTCTTGCGCATCTCCCTCCCCTCCTCACCTTCCCGTTTCCTTTCCCCCGTGTGCGCAGGAGCATAATAAAGCTGCTGCTGGTGGCGGGGACCAACATGTACGCGCGCAACCAACCATCTCTGTCCACGCCCCCACTCACTCATCCATTCCCACCAACCCCCACCTCCCACAACCACCCCCACCCTACCCCTCCCCTTCCCCCCCTCCTTCCCCCATCCCCTCTCTCCTCCCCCCTTCCTTTCCTCTTTTCCACTCCCTCCCCCCCACCCCCTTCAGGAGCATAATAAAGCTGCTGCTGGTGGCGGGGGCGAACATGTACGCGCGCAACAGGGACGGGCTGCTGCCGCAGGAGCTGACGTCGTCGGACCGCATTGGCGCGCTCTTCCGCAAGCTGCACGACTACCACCAGCGCTGCGCCGCCCCTGACTCCGCCTCCCCCGCCGCCGCCCCCCTGGACGCCGCCACACGCGCGGGGGGACTCGGGGGGTTCCGCCAAAGCACTAGTTTTGAGGAAGGGGACTTGCTTTCAGGGGATTTGGGAGGCTCGGGTCTGCTGGGAGGTTCGGGGGGAGGCTTGGAGGATATTGGCGGGTTCAGGCCTGAGTTGGGCAGGTCTGGGTCGGGGAGACGGTTGGGGTTGGGCTTGGGTGTGGAGGGGGAGGAGGATGGGGGAATGGGCGGTGACTTTGAGGGGATTGCAGGGGGCGGGGGTAGGAGTCAGAGGGGCGCGGCGTGGCTGGCGGAGCTGAGGGCGCGGACGGGTTTTGATGCAGGCGATGGGGGCAGGGATGCTGGCGGAAACAGGGAGCTGCTGCGGTGTGCCAGCAGCAACAGCGGCAGCCAGGGCTTCGGGCACAGCAACAGCCTGAACCAGAACCAGCGCGTATCGCAGCAGCAGAGCTATGGCAGCGGCAGCAGCAACGGCAGGGAGGGGAGTGGGGAGGGCGCGGAGTGGCTTGGGGGCGAAGGCCTGGAGAGCAAGGAGGAGCTGTTTCAGAAGGCGTGGGAGCATGACAGGGACGATGACACCACCTCGCCCACCTTCCCCATCTCCCTCGCTCCCACCGGTACTTCTGGTAGGGCAGGCGGGGAGCAGCACGGCAGTGGGCAGGAGAGGGGAGGGGTGCGCCGTGTGCGGGGGGGAAGGAGAGGAGAGGATGGGCGGGAGGCGTGTGACAGCTCGAGTGAAACGGACGGCGCTGGTGAGCGGCGGAGAAGGGTGGGGGTGCGGCGCTCAGGGGGTTTAGGGGGACCAGCGGCAACAGGGCAGGCCGGTGGGGGAACAGCAGCAGGGGCAGGGACAGCAGGGGCACGGGGTCAGACACAGGGGCAGGCGCAGGGGCAGGGACAGGGGCAGGCGCAGGCACAGGGGGGCGCACAGGCGCAGGGTCAGGCGCAGGGACAAGGGGGAGCGGCGCACATGGTGTCTCAGCCGCAGCTGCGATACCATCGCACTCTCAGTGACTCAGGCCACCGCCCCTCGCCCTCCCCAACCTCGCTCTCCCCTCTGCTTGCCAGCAGCCCCACCCAAGGCTCCCCCATCAGCGCTGCCTCCCCTGCTGGAGGTTCGGACTGCCACTCCGATGCCGACGGACCAAACTCCCAGGTTCGGCGGTCCCGAACCGCAAGCCCAGCCTCTGGAAACTCTGCAGGGCGTTCAGGAGGTCGTGGGGGAGGGGGGATGGATGGGCGGGGGGGCCGAGGAGGGAGGGCGGGAGTGGGGCTCATGGGGAGGGGGATGCGGGCAGGGAGGCATGCACGGTCGCAGTCTGTGAGCCTGGACGGGTCTCACAGAGGCGGTATCCCCTTGGGCCCACAGGCGGCTGGGCAGAGCAGAGCGGGCGCAGAGGCCAGGCGAGCAGCAGCAGCAGGCGGACATGCGGGCAGGAGAGACGGCGCGGCGGGCGCGGGAGCAAGTGCGGGTGCCGGGGGTGCCGGCGATTCTGGTGGGGGCGGAGGTGATGATGGTGCAGGGTTGGATGCGGTGGAAAGGGGTTCGGCCGAGAGGGGGTCGAAGCTGGAGAACTTCCGATTGGATGCACAGTATGGGTCTGAGACAGAGGGCAGGCGGGTAGCAGACGCCAGGCCGCTGCTGCGAGTGGGCAGTCTGGGTGAGCGACACATTGAGAGCATGCGAGCGGTGGCAGGCGAAGGGGTGGGGGTAGGGGTGGATAGAGGCAACGGCAGGCAGCAGCAGCAGCATGTGAGGGATTTAAGGCTGACTGGTGCGCTGGGTAGTGACAAGGGGAGAGAGAGAGGGAGCGGGAGGGAGCGAGGGGCGGATGGGGGGGGCGAGGTGTCGACGAGTGATACCGAAGTGTCGGTGAAAACGCCGATGTCCGCCCGCCTGCCGTCGGCGCACGCCTCGGGTGGGTGGCGGCGAGCGTCTTCAGTGCGCGGGGAGATTCTGACGGACGGCGAGCGGGCGGCGATGGGGGAGAGGAAGGCCCTGCAGCCGTCGGGGCAGGGTAAAGGAGGGGGGGTTGCAGCTGCTGCCTCTGCTTCTGCTTCTGCTTCTGCTTCTGCTTCTGCTTCTGCTTCTGCTGCCACCGCTGCTGCTAATGCCAGTGCTGAGAAGGCGAGTGGTGCAAATGCTGCTAACGGAAGTTCTGCCACCAGCCCGAGTGGTGCAAGCACTACTGCTTCTGGAGCTGCTGCTGGTGCGGCTGGTGCTGCTACTGGTGGTGCCGGAGCTGCAGGTGCAGGTGGCAGTGGGAGCCACACTCCAGTGGGCAGAAGCATCAGCAGCAGCGGCGGCACTTCAACTGCATCCCGCCCCCCCGCCCGCGTGCGCAAGTCCGTCTCCTTCGCCCTGCCCTCTGCAGGCGACGACGGCTCCCCAAACCAGCATGGGCGGCAGAGGGGCGAGAGCGAGGGCGAGAGCGACGGGGGGTCGGGGAAGGAGGAGACGGAGAGTGGCAGTGAGGGCGGCGGGGTGAGGCGCCATCGGCGGTACGGCGACAGACGGATGTCTCCCCGCCCTCCTGTGTCCCCCCGCCGGCGAGCGGCTGTTGCCGCTGCTGCTGCAGCAGGGGGGATTGCAGGGCATGGGAAAGCGGGTGCAGGAGGGGATAAGGACGGGGAAGAGAGGGGTGATGCGGCGGGCAGAGGGAAGGCGGCGACTGGTGGTGGTTCCCCCTCGTCCCCCTCCTCCCCTGCTACCTCCTCCCCCTCTGCGCCCTCCCCTTCCGCCTCCCCGCCCAACCAGTCGTCCCCCCTTGCCTCCCCCGCCACCCCCTCGCCCCGCTCCCCCTCCACGCCCTCCGCCTCTCCCCTTGGTGGCAAGGCGGATGGCAGTGGGGAGGGGCGGGAGGAGAAGGGCGCAGAGAAGCAGGCCAAGGGCGGGGAGAAGGGCGGAGGGGGGGACCTGAAATCGGGCAAAGATGTAATGGGGGAGGAGGGGAAGAAGCAGGAGGGTGAAGCGGGGCATGGGAAGGGTGGGAAGGGGGAGGGACGGGCAGAGGGGGGGAGTGCGGGCAGTGGCAGTGAGGGGAATGAAAGTGATGGCAAGTCGTCCTCCCCTTCCTCCTCCCCTTCCGCCACCACCACCAGTGCCACGTCAACCACCTCGTCTGCCAGCGTGGCAAAGGCCCTTGCAGCGTCAGGGTCGGTGTCCATGTCAGCATCCCCGCTGGGCACACTCAAGTGGAAGAAGGGCGACCTGCTGGGGGAGGGCGCCTTCGGCAAGGTGAGACACAGGGGAGCGCGTGGTGTGGCCAGGGGGAGGTGAGGCCTTGGGGAGGTGAGGGCGGGGGAGGTGAGGAGAACATATGGTGGGGTGTGCAAATTGCAAGGATCCTTCTTATTCCCACTCCCATCCCCACTCATGACTTGCCATGCAACCACCTCAGTTTGCCCTGCGATCATTGGCCCTCCCTCCCCGTTCCATCCCGCTCCATCCTCATTTTGTTGGGCCTGAACGAGATGACGGGAGAGCTGATGGCGGTGAAGGAAATCAAATCCCCATTCATCACTGCCCACCCCTCTCCACTCCACCCACTCCACCCCTCTCCACTCCACCCACTCCACCCCTCTCCACCCCACTCCACCCCCCAATCCACCCACTACTCCCTCAACGCAGGTCTTCCTGGGCCTCAATGAGATGACGGGGGAGCTGATGGCGGTGAAGCAGATCAAGATGACGACGGCGGGCGACGAGAAGGCGATGCTGATCGCCTCTCTGGAGCGCGAAATCGTGCTGTACCGCCAGATGCGCCACCGCCACATCGTGGGGTACATAGACATGGAGAAGGACGAGGCTGACGGCTCCATCTATATCTTTCTCGAGCTTGTCTCTGGCGGGTCGCTGCACAGGTGAGGGAAGGCGCTTGGCAAAGGTTCTGTTCTTTCAATGTTTTAAGGCAGCAAGGACGTGCTGTAGCGCCAGATGTGGCACCGGTACATCGTGACGTGGAGAAGGACAAGGCTGATGGCTCCCTCTACATCTTCCTTGAGCTTGTGTCCGGGGGTTCGCTGCACAGGCGAGGGAGCTGACTGCAGCTTGTAGCCGCTGCACCTGCTTGTAGAGGTTTAGCAAGATGTGAGTCGCTGGTGTGGGTGTGCACACATGGGATTACCTGCACGCCTGGCCTGTTTCCTACGTCTCCCGCTCCACTCTCTCCTCTCCTTTCCTCCTCCCCTCCCGCTCCCTTCCCCCCTCTCCCCCGCACCGCACCCCCGTGGCAGCATGTTGGAGAAATTCGGCAAGTTCAGTGAGTCGCTGGTGCGCGTGTACACGCGGCAGCTGCTGCTGGGGTTGGAGTATCTGCACGGCTGCAAGATCATCCACCGTGACATCAAGGGCGGCAACGTGCTCGTCGACAGGGATGGGGTTATTAAGCTCGCTGACTTTGGTGCCTCCAAGGTGAGCCTTGCTGCGCGAATTGGGGCGGGGGGGACGGGGAGGGGAGGCGAGTGGAAGGTGGGGCAAGTGTTGCTGGGCGAGTGAAATGGGATGAGTGGGGCGAACTTGTTCTGAAATGTTTTGCCTGTGCTTCTGACACTGTCTTGATTGCAACCTCTCTCATCGTCCCTCCCCTCCTCCCACAACCTCGCCCTCCCCTTCCCACCCGCAGGCGTTCCACGAGGGCACGGTGGGCGAGGGGTGCAAGTCGATCCGCGGGTCGGTGTTCTGGATGGCGCCCGAGGTCATCAAGGGCGAGGGGTACGGCCGCCGTGCTGACATCTGGAGCCTCGGCTGCACCGTCATTGAAATGCTCACCGGCAGGTGAGAGATGCTCACGGGCAAGTGGGAGCAGTGCGGGCAATGGAGTTGGGAGAGGTTGGGTGAGGCTAGGTGGTTTTGGGTAAACATTGGGCTGGGTGTAGTTGGCTGACATCTGAAGCCTCACCTGCACTGTCATTGAGATGCTCACTGCGCTCACTGCCCCTGCTGCTCTCTACCACTATTCCTCACTTGCCCTGCATCTTCAGATTCTTCTCTTATTCTAAAAGCCTTTTCCAACTTTCAGCTCCATCCGTATGCTCTCCCCCCTCCCCTCTCCCCCTCTCCCCCGCTCCCCCTGCATGCGTCCCCCATGACCCCACACCAGCCACCCATGGCCGGGCATGGACAACACGTGGTCGGCCATCTTCCACATCGCCAAGACCACCACGGGCCCGCCCATTCCCGAGGGCATATCGGACGAGGGTCGCGAGTTCCTCGAGGCGTGCTTCCACATCGAGCCCTACGACAGACCGTCCGCCACCGAGGTGAGATGCTGGGGTGGGGTGGGGTGTATTTTGTGCACCATGACACATTGGGGTGTTTGATGCAATTGCCTGTAATGCGTCGGGCTTATTAGGCGCACTTCATCCGGTGGTACTACCATTAATTTCCTCTTGGAAGTAAATCTGAGTCATCTCTCCTCGTATTTGTCCTTTGTTTTTTCCACGTTCCATAACAGCTTCTGAAGCTACCATTCGTTCAAGTTCCTGACACCCCTAGAGATGCGCGCATGGCGCAATTCCTCTGACAATAACACTAATTTCGTGGCGTGCTGCAAAGATTCTGCTTGTGGTGTAATTTATTAATAATGTATCACTCATGTCAAAATACTCTTACGTTTCAAGGTGTAGTAGGATTGTAGTTATTTCCACCATTGCCACGTGGGAAACATACTTGGCCAGGATTACTGCATTCTCGGATGCCATGATTGTGGTGGGAGGATTATGATTGCAATTTGGAAAATCGCATACACTGTCGCACCGCATGGTTGAGAGAAATCTGACGGGGGGTGTCAAGCAGCTGTGTGGTGGGATGTGCACTGTTCGCGAGTTCGTTTTCGCCAGAGAAATCTGACGATCGCTCAGCCAGTCATCGCAACGGAAGCTGCGTTGGGCCACGCATGATGACTTCGATAGTGACGTGTGCTCTGCATTCAGACGCGTCATTCAATGACCCCTCGCATACGGAAAGGTCAAACAACTTCCCTTCCAGAAACCAAGAATCACTGTTGGTGGTTCATGGGAATTTCGAAGGGTGGATGAATCTCTGACGTCCCCCACGTGGCTATTCTGATGAACGGTTTTGAGGCACGTCATTACCGCAGATTGTCGCACAGCATCCGGCGAAATCTTTCGCGCAATCCCCCCAACCTCTTGGGCCTCAACCTTTTCTTCCCTTCACCTTCATCTTATTGTCGTAAATTCGCTGCTCTGCATTTTCGCTCCCATTTTCTCACTTCATTTGTTCTTGCTTGTGCACCAGTTCTAACTCCTAGCCCGTCGTTCTTGCAATCTTAGTTTCTACAACCGTGTAGCTTCGATTTTCTTCACGTGTCATTGCCTGAACCATCGTCAGTTTAATTATTTACGCCTCCAGACGCGATGGGAACTCTTCACGAGACAACTCCCTGCCATCACTCCCTTGGCACCATCTTCGCATCAATTCCCGACGAGGTTTCTCACGAGGCGCTCCTGCGTCTTCCGCGCCACCTGCACGGCGCGCTCAAGACAGTCTCCAAGTCCTGGAGCTCCGCCGTGTCTAGCGAAGCGTTCTTCCAGGCGCGAGAGGCGGCGGGCGTGATCGAGGAGTGGCTCTTCGTGCTCCCAGAGGACCCCGACCAGGGCGCGTTCCGCGCGTTCGACCCCAACTCCAAATCATGGCGCGCCGTGCCGCCCATTCCTGGTCGGTCCAAGAATGAGGGGCTTTCAGAATTCGCGACGGTGGCTGCGGGCGGGAAGATGTACGTCATTGGTGGCTGCGAGCGCGTGACGTCAGCATCCCCATCGGTAATGGGTTGCGCAGACGTCGCGACGGCGCGGGTGCGTGTGTTCGACCCCGTCGCGTGGCGCTGGGATTTCTGCGCGCCGATGGGCGAGGCGCGCATCTCGCCCGCCGCGGAGGTGTTGGACGGCTGTTACATCGTGGTTACCGGCGGACAGGGCCGACACGCGTTCCTGCGATCCGCCGAGGTGGGTCCGACCACTTGCGTTTATCTCAGCCGTAAATTGTGCGCTCGCAATAGGAGAAGTATAAGAGGCTCGTTTCAATGAACGCCAAAAATATCCATCACAACAAGAATAATCTGGTAGTACTAAGCTTAGTGACTTCTCCTCCTCTTGAACTCCCACAATTTCATTAACCGCTTCAGATTTTCGACGTGCTCACCGGTCAATGGCGGAGCATCAGCGCGATGCACGCCGCGAGATGCGGGCACCGCGCCGTGGTGCTCGGGGGGCAGCTGACGGTGATCGCGGGGGAGGTGCAGCGGCCTGACAGCTCGACTGCTGACGTCATGGGGTTACGTCATGACGGAGACGGACAGGCGCGCGAGAGCACGGCGTCGATCGAGGTGTACGACCGGCAGAGCGACCGGTGGGACCTGGTGCCCCACGCGTGGATCGACGACTGCAAGGTGAGCGAGGGGGAGCGACGGGGGAACGAATGTGGAGAGGGTAGAGAGGAAGTCAGAGGGCAGCGACGCATGGGGCTATTGAGGGCGGGACAGGGCTTAATTGGCGGGTGGCGGGTGGGTGATGGTGAATGGTCGATCTCTGGTCTTCCAGATCTGCCTGGTATCACCCGCATCCGATATTTTTTTTTCTTTCCATAATTCTCATCCGTCCTGCTGCTCTCCCTCCCTCTCCCTTTCCCCCCCAGATCCCGGGTCCCATGGCCGTGCTCAACGGCGATCTCTACGCCATCCACCAGTCGCGCCTCGTCGTGCGCGACGCCGCCACGGGCGAGTGGCGCAAGTGCGGGCCTATCCCCTCGCTCCACGTCAGCAGCTCGGGCGTCGGCAACTTCAGGCGGCAAAGCAGTGCGACGCGCGGCGTGGGCATGATTGCCTTTCAAGGGAAGCTGTTCTTGCTGGGCGGCGCGCGCGAGGCGAGGAGCAATGGCGGGTTTGGCGGCGGGAGGGTAAGATTGGAGGAGGTGTTTTGCTGGGACCCCGCGGAGGAGGACAGGCGCGGGCGCGAGGAGGATGCGCGCACGCCCAAGGGGCTGCTTGCGGCCATGCTCGTGCGCCCCAGTGAACGGTTACTCAACTGGGAGGCCGTGGGCGGCATGGGCGGCGGGAAGGGCGCCATTCTCGCGTGCGCCGTGCTGAGAGTGTAAGGTGGATGGGGGCGAAAGAAGGTGTGGTTGGGGAGAGTTGAAAGCGGTGACAGGGCTTGTGGAGCCCAGTAGGGGCAACAGGGAGGGTAGGGGGATCGAAAGAATCGGAAGAATTGGAACAGCCTCTGCTGATAATAGCAGCAGAGCAGAGGGTGGCAGAGGGTGTGAGACGGCAGGTGGAGCAGCAGCACTGGTGTGTACAGTCCCCACTTACAGAGCTGGTGTGTGCTGCTGGCCCCTGAGAGGTGGTTTATGACAGCAGCACCCCACCATGCCCCAAGGCAACATTAGTGCACGAGTGCATGAAGCAGCAGCACGCTGTGAAGCCTTGGTGGTGACTCCACCAGGCTGCAGTTTGCCACAAAGGAAAGGGCTGGCGCTCGCAAATGCAGCGCCACCCCTTGAACAATTTTGAAGCTAGGCGTTTAGGGTGTGTGTGTGCCATTTAGGGTGTGTGCAAAATACTTCTAACGCTTCTTCCCTAGGTCCAGTTTTGTATCCCTCTGTGTTTTAATGACTATTGTCAGAGCTGTACGGCCATTGTATTGCATGCATATTGTAAAATAACAATTGCTTAAAAAAACATTTAACAACCTGAATGTTATTGCATATTCGAGTACCGTAATCTCCCGGATACAGTACCCCCCCGCGGAGAAGACCCTGGGTCCTCTTTCCGGACCAAGGGTCTTTTATTCCGACCTGTTCTCGTGAGGACCCCCCTTTTTAAAATAAATATTTTAAGACCCCCCTCCTTCGTCAAATTTTCAAATTAATGTTATATTCTTAACGAATCTGGGGGGTTGGTGATGCTCGGCTGACTCGTCATCAGGCACAAAACGGTGACGCGATTCAGTTTCGCGTCAAATTCCAGTCAGGATTCGATTTTGCGTGGATTTTACTGTTGAGATTCGAATCCGCGTCAGGGGAAGAATTCAACACCCTCGGTAAAAGCTTGACTTTCCAGTGCTATGAGTGAATACATTGTGCTCTATGAATTCTTAATGTGTTCAGGGGTCTTAGTAAATATGCCCCTTGGTATTGTTCACCTAATCATTATTCACAACATTTCTGATAAGACCCCCGGGTCCTATATACGGGAGATTACGGTAGCTCATTTGCAAATACACCTATTAGAGCCTTTTGGATTGGTTTGTGCGCAAAAAAAAGTTCGGCAACTATTATTTCGGTTGTTTGTGCCGACAATTGCATAGGAAACATTATAAATTTTAAACACACATGTAGTGTTTTTTAAAATTGTGTATTGTGAAAGCGAAGCTGCTTGTACTGCACAATTGGCATCGTCGAAGCGCGCTAATGGCCCCTTCTCCAAGTACCAAAAAAAAAAAAAAAAAAAAAAAAAAAAAAAAAACAAAAACCGTGGGTTGGAGCTCATTTCCCTCCACCCACGTTTCTCAATTTTCAAACGGCTCACTCAACATTCCCACCACCCACCCCAGAGTAAACCGCCTTGCTAATGCCACTTGGATAGGGTATATCCTAGCTAGCGTTATTAGTCCGCACTAGCTTGTGTCGAATGATGATACAAATGTTGTAATACGCCATTTGTAATGAGAACGATGCCAATTGATAAGAAAGAAAGCAATCTTTCTCAATATATAAATTCATATAGGCGTAGGGAAAAGCATCGAACGGCCAGGCTCAAATCCACCTACCAGAGCAAGTTCGGCTTGGTTCGCACTGTCAAACATTATATATGTTGTGGTTGTTTAGGCTACAGTGGGTTAGCCTATAGGGGGTACACAATTCTAGGGTTAGGTACTTGTACTGATTTCACTGTTAGTTCAACCATTCCAGTCTCTTCTTTCTGACATGGTTTCAGAGCAGGTCCTTCGCTAGGACCGTTCTTAGGGCCCACCACTGACTACCTACCTACCTATCTACTGTCGGAGCGTCGCGTTAGCGCCTCCCCCTCAGCGCCCTCGTGCGCCCTCGTGTACGGCCCCTTAAGGCCCCGTCGACCCCGCGCGCCGCCCCTTAGTGACTCGCGCGTCGCGCCTTAGAGGCCCCGTCGACCCGTGCGCGCCCCGCTTAAGGCCGCGTTTGGACCCGTCGACCCCGCGCGCGCCCCGCTTAGAGGCCCCGTTTGGCCCCGTCGACCTAAGCGCGCCCCGCTTACGGCCCCGTTTGGCCCCGTCGACCCCTTCGCGCCCCGCTTAAGGCCCCGTTTGGCCCCGTCGACCTGCCCTCGGCCCGCTTAGTGGCCCCGTTTAGCCCCGTCGACACGCGCGCGCCCCACTTACGGCCCCGCTGGCCCCGTCGACCCCGCGCGCGCCCCGCTTAGAGGCCCCGTTTGGCCCCGTCGACCTGAGCGCGCCCCGCTTACGGCCCCGTTTGGCCCCGTCGACCCGCGCGCGCCCCGCTTACGGCCCCGTTTGGCCCCGTCGACCCCGCGCGCGCCCCGCTTAGAGGCCCCGCTGGCCCCGTCGACCCCGCGCGCGCCCCGCTTAGAGGCCCCGTCGACCCTATCCGCCGCCCCAAAGCGGCTCCGTCGACCCTACCCGCCGCCCCTACCCGCACCGCACGCGACAGCCGCGGCCCCACCAGCAACAGGCCGCCCGAACAGAGCCGCCCGAACCGAGCCGCCCAGTCCGAGCCGAGCCGCGCAGCCAGAACCGAGCCGCGCTGCCCGCACTGAACGACTACTCTGGACCGAGCCGCCCTACCTGCGTCGCGCTGCCCACTGCTTTTAGGACTCACTTACTGCTACTGCTACTGCTACTCCTACTGCTACTATGGCTACCCCGCCTGTACTAGCTTTCGATGCTGAGGGCCGCCCGGTGAAGTTTGACACCTGGCTCGATGACCTGCACCTTTTCCTACAGCTCACTGCCAAGGAGGATATCTCCCTGTATGACCACGCCCTCGGCCATGCTCCTGCCCCTGCTACTGATGCTGACAGCACTACCCGCTCACAGTGGCAGACTCGTGACGCCCACGCTCGCTTTGCCATCCGCAACTCCCTGCCGTTAGATGAGCGCGAGCACTTCGGCCAGTGCAAGACTGCTAGGGACCTCTACACCGCTGTAGTTGCCCGTTACTCCTCACCCGCTTCTGCTACGCTAGGCCGCCTCACTCTTCCCTACCTGTTCCCCGACCTAGCCTCCTTTCACACTGTCGCAGACCTCATCACCCACCTTAAGACTAGTGAGGCCCGCTTTCGCGCTGCTATGCCTGCCGAGTTTCTCACTAGCAACCCCCCCCCGCTCTGGATCACGCTCTACCACATCGTCACCCGCCTCCCTGACTCTCTGCGCGTAGTCAGGGACCACTTCCTCTCTCGCTCCCCCACTGAGCTCACTGTTGCCCTCCTCGAGAAGGAACTGCTTGCAGCTGAGGCGAGTATCGTCGCTGTAGGCACCTCTCGTGGTGACCCCCGCACCCCGTTCTTCGAGGGGTGTTCCCCTTCCCCCCTCCTCCCCTCTGTCGCCTCTGCTGCTGCTGTCGACCTCCTTGGTGCTGAGAAGGTCGGGACCGCGTCTGCTTCGAGCGGGCGCCGCAGGGGCAAAGGGGGCAGGGGCGGGGGTGGCGGCGGAGGAGGTGGGGGTGGAGGCGGTGGGAGTGGAGGCGCGGCTGAGGAGGCTAGTGGCGGCAGTGGGGGAGGCGACAGCAGCGGCGGGAGTGGTGGCAGGGGCGGAGGCGGCAGCGGAGGCGGAGGTGGTCGTGGTGGCGGCAGGGGTGGAGGTGGCCGGGGCGGAGGCGGAGGGGGTGGTGGTCGTGGAGGCACTGGCGGAGGGCAGAGTCAGCAGCCCGCCCCGACACTTCAGGCCGCCCGTGAGTGGTATGCGCAGCGTGGCTTTACCTGCACGTACGTCATTCGCACAGGTGACCGCAGCGGCCAGCAGTGTGGGAGGCCGCACCCCACGCAGCGCTGCTTCGCGCGCCTTACCGACGCGTGGCGCACCCAGTTTCCTACTGCCACTGAGCTGCCGCGCTGGGCTGAGCTGGAAAAGAGGGGTGTTGATATTTGGGCTTTAGACTTTGATGCTATTCTCACTGCCATGTATGCTATGTCTATTAGTGGAGAGGGTGCTCAGTACTTGCGTGTTCCGCCCGATCCGGGCATTCAGGCCAGTCCGGTTGCCGCTCTAGGTGCTAGTGCGTCCGCTCCCACAGGTCCTGGTGAGGCTGCTGCCCTAGGTGCTAGTGCGTCTGTGCCCCCTGGTACTGAGTCTACTGCAGCACTGCACACCTTCACACTGGACTCAGGTGCTTCTCGCTCTTCCTTTCGTGACCGCACTGACCTCGAGCCCCTCGCTCGGCCAGTTGCTGTCTCCCTTGCTGACCCCTCTGGGGGTCCGGTCATTGCGACCTCCTCCACTGTCCTTCCCTGTCCGGCGGTCCCGTCCGGCACGCTGTCAGGTCTCTACCTCCCCTCGTTCTCTACGAACTTGGTGGCGGGCTGTGCGCTCCAGGACTCGGGTGTTCACCAGTTCACCCCTGCCTACGAGCGCGTGACACACTGCACGTGTGCTCGGACGGGTCGCCACCTGGCTACTTTCACTCGAGAGCCGGGGTCGGACCTGTACACACTGACCACTGCGTCCCCTCCGGTAGCTGCGTCTGCGTCTGCGTCAGGTCCACTGTCCGCCCCCTGCTCGTGTCGCTCTTTGGCGCATGAGACTGTCCTCTGGCACCACCGCCTTGGTCACCCGTCTGTGCAGCGCCTTCGGGCCATGCACAAACGGGACCTTGTTGCTGGTCTTCCCAGGGTGCTCCCTCCCCTTCCCGACTCGCCTGCTCCTCCCTGTATTCCCTGTGTCGAGGGGCGGCAGCGCGCCGCTCCTCACTCCTCCTCCTTTCCCCCGACGACTGCTCCCCTGCAGACGCTCCACTTGGACGTGTGGGGCCCAGCCCGCGTCCGTGGACAGGGTCAGGAGCGGTACTTCCTGCTCGTTGTTGACGACTTCTCGCGCTACACCACGGTCTTCCCCTTGCGAGCCAAGGGTGACGTCCCTGATGTCCTGATCCCTTGGATCCGC